TCCAGCTATGTGTAGTTTCCAACTTTTTTTCCTTCAAATGTAGTATTTTCGAAGCTATTACCTCTATGAATATAGAAGACAACGAGAATTCTATTTAGTCCGTCAGTTAGATGATCAAAAAATAATGGACACGTATTTTTTATTTGGGCAATCAACCAAAAACTGACCAAGTTATAGCGCGTCCCAAGTTTGGGAGTAGGGGCTCGTGACGTCACTTTTAAGTAAAAATTGTACCAAAACGTGACGTCATGAGACTTTTCGAATCCATATATCTCTGCAATGTTTATATTGTGTGAAAAAAGAAAAAATACGTGTCCAATACTTTTTGATAATCTATCTGATAAATGAAGAAAAAAACATTAGTCATCATCTCTATTACCTGACTTTCGTATTGCCATATTAGAAGCGTGTATGACGTATCTATAACTTTAAAACATAGCTGCAGACTATTTTATAATACACTAGCTTCGCTTCGGTGTAGAGCTGAAGTGTAGACTACAGTTTTTCTATGATTCTTCTTATTATACCTGCATCCAAAGTCTCAACCCGATCGGTTTAAAATTGACAAAGTTTCATGCAAACTTACATTCCCTATTTTATCCCCTTGGGGGTAGAATTGATCAAAATCCTTTCTTAGCGGAAGCCTACGTCATAACACCTACCTGCATGCCAAATTTCAGCCCGATCCGTCCAGTGGTTTGGGCTGTGCGTTGATAGATCACTATGTCAGTCAGTCACCTTTGAGATTAATATATATAGATATAACGTCTAACTAGTTCCCACTACTACAGTGCTGCAAAGATCTATTCCTTTCTGGCACAAATAGAGCTGTTGGTCCCGGTAACATGTTGTTGTTATGCAGTCGTTAACACCCCCAAATCCGCATTGGGTCCATACCACGTGGTGGCATATGGCCCGTTATCCTTGGGGTTCCTTATGCAAATAAAAGTGAGGAGTCGATATAATTAGGTAAGTTCAAAGTTTGAAAATCATTAATAAATTATATTTTTGTAATAATGTACGTTTTATATTTTTTAATTGTACTATAAATAAAACTAGAAATGTTGTAGTAAATAAAACAATTTTTCTTTTAACAACAACCTTTTATTTAACAATTATTAATTATATACAAATATAATCCAAAATCCATCAATTTTTTTCCTTTAAAACCAATTTTAGTATTAAAAAACATTGTTAATAAATACATAGGTACAGTAACCGTATACAAAATGAAATTATTGAAGTTATACTTCTTTAGGCGCGTTATGAAAAAATGATGAGAGTGAAATTTTAAGATGCGCGCGCATCACTGTAACACAAAATTTTAACATAATGAAGTTGGTCGCTTTAGCGCCCAACTTCATGCGTTACTTTTGTGTTTACCGCACATTAAGAAAATCTACCAACAAAATAGAAATAGAATCTCTATTTAGTGGGTGCTAACGACTGCATTGTGAAGGCCTATCAAAAGTATTTATTAATCTGGAACAACGGAACCAAAGCGCGATTCAGGAGACTACAGCGCCATCTCTTGACCATTGGTGTAGTAGAACCAAAAACCACATCTTTATTTTTTGTAATAAAGTAACAGTTATAGGTATTCATATTTATAATATTTATCCACATGTTTCTAGTTTGTATATTCGGAATACGTGTTTGATTTTCATACAAGTGCAAATCACATATGTTCTAATAAATTATATTCAGTAGCGATTTTAATTGAATATTTTGATTATTTATTTGTTTTTTCAAATTAAAACTGAACTTTATTGACTGTGTCCTTTTCCAGACTTTTTATTAATTTATTGTAATAAATTATTTGCATGCAATTAAAAACTAATTTTAAACGATGCCAAAGAAGGATAACTTCTCACGCGCCTACAAAAGTACACGCACCCATTTTTTTATTTATTCATGTGTGTATACTATAATAGTCCATTTAATCTTACTAAAAGTTCACGTGAAGTTACTACAAATTCATATCTGCAAACGATTTTGCACCCAACTGCTTGTGTGCAGAAAGTATGATGATTTTTTTAAAGTTTGGTATACATATGTAACTTAAAGAGCTATTTATGTACATCTATCCGATTCTGTTCCAGACCAATTCAAAGAGTAATTATTATTCATAGAAAGGTACAAAATGCATACTTTATTAATATTTATGAACACTAATAAAATTAAAGAAAATATAACTAGAAAAAGTTCTACGCGGACCAGGCAGCAGACGGGACTCGAACCCGTACCCTTCGCAATCCGGGCGAATGCATTGACCAGTTATGCTACCGCGGCCCTCACGGACCGCGTCGAAATTCCTCTAGCCATTCTTTTCAAGGCAACGCCATCTCTTCGCATTATAGGTAACCCACAAGCCGCCCTGCATTCGCCCGGATTGCGAAGGGTGCGGGTTCGAGTGGAATTTATTCTAGTTATATTTTCTTTAGATTTAAAAATCAAGCAGTTCCATGCTTTAAAAAAATAAAAATTCTAAAATAATTGGTTTGAAACAGATTGGACAATATGAGTTAGTGATTACAATCTATTGTGTCTTTATCATCAGTCAGTCTTTATTAGTAATAAATATTATTTTAGTTACTTATCATTATCACTGGCTAATTACATTGCACGTTTTTTAAATAATATTAATTGGATACCACCAATATTTTCCTTATAACTCGATAAAGTAATTTTTAGAATAGGTATATTTCATATAAAAAACCCATTGAAATAATGAAACAGTTCAAAACCATCATGCATCATTATCTGTTTTGTCATAACACTATTCATACATCTTAATAAGGGAATTCAAAAATATCCAAGATGTTTGATATTGATAGGGACTTCATTGCAAAAATGTACTCAAATACCTCTTACGGCCAGTTTCAATAAAAACATCCAGTTAATGGTAAGCTCATTCTGGTTTCCATTTTTAGCAACTGATGTTATTTTAATTTAAATACATAATAAAATTGCCCTATTTTCTGCCCTATCTTAAATACAACTCTCGCTACAGTAGGGCAGTAGCCAGAGTCACAGGTAGGGCAATGGTATTCTAACGTAGGGCATTGCATTGCACCATAATGCCCCTCTCCCTAACTGCGGCCCTGCCAGTAAGCTCTAATAGGGCAATCTGTCGAAATAGATTATTGAAACTGGCTGTATACAATGGTTTTTGTGAAGTCTAGTAGAATGTACAGCTAATTTATGTTTATTGTGTTAGTAATATATATATCTATGATATATATATTTTTTTGAGTGTGTATGCTGTTGGTCGCAGCTGACCTTTGGGAACGGAGACATCCTCAAGCCGAGAATTGGCTAGTGCTTCCAGAGGGGTTGTCCATTAATCACGTAAGGCTCGAAAGGGGGGGGGGGGGTCTATAAAAAATCACGAAATATCATAACGGGGGAGGGGGATGTGTAGCAATATATGACGTGTATTTCCGTGGTCCGAGAATACAGTACATTAAATAATGTTCATGTTCATGCGTTTTTCGGTTTTTTTCATTATATTTATGTCAGTCAAATACAACTTGCAATCTTTCTGTCTACCTCTAAACGTTATTATTGTAGTTTTTAATTGAGGGGGGGGGGGTAAGTATTTATCCTCATCATGTATCACCAAGGGGGAGGGCGGACGGCGGTTTAAAAATACCAACAAAAGAAACTTGTTATTAATGGACGGCCTCAGAGGTATTCCAGGCGGATGGCGTCTCCCCATGGGGGGAGTCTCCTCTCCGTCTGGAGCCTCTAGATCACGAGCACCTGAGGGGGTCGGCTCAACTAGAGGGCGTCTCTGAGACTCGGCTGTAGTTATTCGTTGTGGTGGGATCTACTATAGATAGAGCCGGATGAGTGAGGCGTGGCTGGCGGGGCAGCGCGTGGCGGGGCAGGAGCCGGTCGCAGATACCGGAAGGGATATGCACACTACACTATAGATAGAGCCGGATGAGTGAGGCGTGGCTGGCGGGGCAGCGCGTGGCGGGGCAGGAGCCGGTCGCAGATACCGGAAGGGATATGCACACTACACTATAGATAGAGCCGGATGAGTGAGGCGTGGCTGGCGGGGCAGCGCGTGGCGGGGCAGGAGCCGGTCGCAGATACCGCACGGGATATGCACACTACACTATAGATAGAGCCGGATGAGTGAGGCGTGGCTGGCGGGGCAGCGCGTGGCGGGGCAGGAGCCGGTCGCAGATACCGCGAGGGATATGCACACTACACTATAGATAGAGCCGGATGAGTGACGCGTGGCTGGCGGGGCAGCGCGTGGCGGGGCAGGAGCCGGTCGCAGATACCGCGAGGGATATGCACACTACACTATAGATAGAGCCGGATGAGTGACGCGTGGCTGGCGGGGCAGCGCGTGGCGGGGCAGGAGCCGGTCGCAGATACCGCGAGGGATATGCACACTACACTATAGATAGAGCCGGATGAGTGAGGCGTGGCTGGCGGGGCAGCGCGTGGCGGGGCAGGAGCCGGTCGCAGATACCGCGCGAGATATGCACACTACACTATAGATAGAGCCGGATGAGTGAGGCGTGGCTGGCGGGGCAGCGCGTGGCGGGGCAGGAGCCGGTCGCAGATACCGCGCGAGATATGCACACTACACTATAGATAGAGCCGGATGAGTGAGGCGTGGCTGGCGGGGCAGCGCGTGGCGGGGCAGGAGCCGGTCGCAGATACCGCGCGAGATATGCACACTACACTATAGATAGAGCCGGATGAGTGAGGCGTGGCTGGCGGGGGCAGCGCGTGGCGGGGCAGGAGCCGGTCGCAGATACCGCGCGAGATATGCACACTACACTATAGATAGAGCCGGATGAGTGAGGCGTGGCTGGCGGGGCAGCGCGTGGCGGGGCAGGAGCCGGTCGCAGATACCGCGCGAGATATGCACACTACACTATAGATAGAGCCGGATGAGTGAGGCGTGGCTGGCGGGGCAGCGCGTGGCGGGGCAGGAGCCGGTCGCAGATACCGCGCGAGATATGCACACTACACTATAGATAGAGCCGGATGAGTGAGGCGTGGCTGGCGGGGCAGCGCGTGGCGGGGCAGGAGCCGGTCGCAGATACCGCGCGAGATATGCACACGTAACAATACACGTACCTGGCACAAATACCATACACTCTTTAGTCTCTGTAGCATGAGCACCGCGATATCAGATATATCGCATTTTTATCATGTTTGAATGTCAAATTACTATAGTGTTTGACAGTTAGTACCGATAAAAAAACGAGCGAGCCTCACAGTAGTCGCGTATGATGTGTAACATTTGAAACCTCACCTTATATTAGGTAAAAAAAGAAATAAAACCTACCACAAAAGGAATAAGCCATTTGAACATTATGCTCTAAAATCAAATCAAATAGCACGCGCTTTCGCGACTTCCTGTCACACTCCTACACACTTCCGTCCCATTTCAACACAATAGTCCGCTTGGTTATGCCCTAGTCGATTTTATGTCTTACAGCAGTATAGAACAATTTAACTTTGTAAAAAATGCGAACAACAGAATCCTAGACTTAGTTCTTGCTAACTTCACAAATATTGTTATTACCGAATCCTCAGACATTTTGAGCAAACTTGATGCTCATCACCCTGCTCTCTTAGCGGATATTGATGTAAAAGTTGTGATGAGGTTGTCTTGTAAGTAAATTAAGTCCTATTCTTAATTTCAAAAGAGCTAATTATCCAGTTATAAATGAAAAATTGTGTAATGTGAACTTAGAGTCTGAGCTGGGAGGTGAGGATGTCAACGTCATGATGCGTAAATTGTATTCCATCCTCAAGAACATCATTCATTATAATATCCCCAAACTTATTTCCACCGTAGAAAATATCCTAAATGTTTCACTCGCGCTTTAACTAACTTAATATCTGAGCGTGATAATATTAGGAGCCGTTTCAAAAAATATAAAAATACCAGCGAGACTCATTTGAACTTAAGCTTGCCAATAAGCGAGTGGACCAAATGATAAAAAAATGTTATGCTGCATATCTAGATGGGATGGAGGACTCGATTAGGCAAAATCCTAAAAAACTTTGGTCGTACGCCAAGAATCTCCGCGGTGGTAAATCTAACATTCCTGGTGAAATGCATCTCAACACGGCTTCAGCTTCTACCGGTAACGAAATATGTGATCTTTTCGCAACACACTTCTCCTCGGTCTATACCCAGAAACTAGACACCGTCCCCAATGATTTAATTAATGATGATGATGATTTGATTTAGTGACTATCCCCAGCTATCTCTCGGTAATGTTGCTATATCCGAACGCATGATCACTAAGATCTTATCCAAAATTGACGAGAGTGAAGGAGCAGGTCCTGACAGCATTCCGCCACTATTTCTTAAAAGAACCGCTAAATACATTGCGCTGCCACTTAAAATCATATTAGATAAATCCATTGCCACTGGTGATTTTTCGGATTTGCTTAAGGAGGCTAAATCATTCCTGCCCCCCTAGCATGACTAACAAAACGTGATATGATAAAGCGATTTATCGACATTAACTGTCAAACTACAATGGAGTTTGACAGTTGAGTGTCGATAAATCGCTTTATCATATCGCGTTTTGTTACTCATGCTAGGGGGGCAGTCTTCAAAAAAGGTTAAAATAATAACGTATAGTAATAAACTACCGCCGAATATCTATTCTGAATGCAATATCAAAGTTATTTGAAAAAATTATCTGCCCGTTTTTAACTACCCATTTTAAAAACGTCATTCATGCAAACCAGCATGGATTCTGTAAACATAAATCAGCACCGACCAATCTTGATTCGTATGGCAACGAGCTAACGAAATCAATCGACTCTGGCGTAGAAATAGATTCCATATAAACAGATTTTAGCAGTGCGTTTGACAAGGTTGACCACAACATACTGTTTATGCAACTGAAGCGTTACGGAATTCATGGACCCCGACTGCTATGGCTCCGTTCTTACTTCGAGCATCGGTTGTTAAGGGTAGTTGTGGACGGCTACAAATCGAAACCATTCCTCACCTCGTCGGGAGTCCCCCAGGGTTCGATCTTGGGACCAATTCTGTTTCTCGTTTTCATTAACGATATCCCTGATAAAATCCGGTATAGCAGCTGCTCTTTTTTTTCCGACGATTTAAAGTTGTATCGACCGATCAAAAACGAGGAAGATATACTTTTGCTCCAACAAGATCTAGACTCGGTATCGGAATGGTGCGTAGACAACGGTATGACTCTTAACGCAAGTAAATGTCTATTTATAAAATTTACCAGAAAGACAAAAAACATTAACGCTTCTGTCTATACCATTAATTCTGCACAGCTAACCGAAGTCCGTTCGACTCGTGATAACATTGTAATTGACAAAAAGCTCGGATTCATTGAACATATTAACGTTATTATTGCAAAGGCATTAAAAATGTTGGGTTTCTTGAAACGCCTGTGTAAGAATTTCGATAACACCCCAACAATTTTATGCTTGTATAAGAGTTTGGTGCAAAGTATACTAGAATACAGTTCCCAAGTCTGGAATCCGCAATATCAAGTCCACATTGACAAAATCGAGCGAATTCAACGTAATTTTACGAGGTTTCTTGCTTTCAAAGACAGGAAGTGTCCTTACCGTGCTGATTACCACACTCGTCTCAAATACCTTACTTACCTTAGAAAAGCGTAGAAAAACCACGGACATTTTATTTGTGCATAATTAACTTCACGGCAATATTGTTGCGCAAGACCTTCTTGCGGAAATTATGTTAAAGGTTCCCAGAAAAATCCCCCGCCAACCCAGCAAATCATTCGTTAACTGTCCTTTTAAAACAAAATTAGCTTCACCGTTTAACAGAATTAAAGATGCATACAATGAGATATGCCATGATGTTGACATCTTTCACGCTCCACTCAAAGCCCTCAAAAAACATTTGTATGGTAACGTTCAAACCGAACAGTAATTTGTTACTGTTAAAAATATAAGTACCTACCTACATATAGTCAATGTTGTACATGCCTGCAAAGGCAATTCGCACGGTTGAGTACTACCTGCATCTTTAATCTTTATTGAAATTTGTGAAATTGTTCATGGTATATCAAATAAATAAATAAATTTAAAAAAACCACGAAATCACTCTCTTAAATTGCAGGAAAGTGAGAGGAAAAATGTAATACATCAAAAACGTGGTACGTATAATGTAAATTGTGGTGCTCATGCTACGGGTACACAATTTATTAACATTATATCGCGTCTAACTGTCAAACTCCACAGTAATTTGACAGTTGAGCGTGATAAAAACGCGTTATTACGAGTATATCATATCGCGGTGATCATGCTAGGGGCGCTGGACCAATGTAAATAAAAATACCACAATACCTACTAATATTATAATTTAATAAGTACTACCAACACTCACACCAATAACGAAGACGATATCCTTGGCCGAGTGGTTTGTACGCCGGGTTTCATGGTGTCGCCGACTCGAGAGGTCCCGGATTCGAATCCCGGTGGAGACAGATGTTTGTGTGTTAATACAAGCATTTGTACTTCAGAATGTGTATTTCTATATAAATATAGTTATATATGTATTCTATCCGTTACCTTAGTATCCCATTACACAAGCCTTACAGTTTACATTGCTTACTTTGAAGCTAGACTAATTGGTGCGAGTGTTGGAAATATTTATTAGCCTATCCCCAAATAAATCACTGTAAACTTGTGATATGGGATACTTGGGTAACGGATAGAATACATACAACATACATATAGTACAAATGCTCGTATTCATTATACAAACATCTGCCGCAACCGGGATTCAAACCCGGAGCCTCTCGAATAGGCAACACCATGAAATCCTGCGTACAAACCACTCGGCCACGGAGGTCTTCATATAAATGTGAAAGTTTGTTTGTTTTCTTTTATAGCGAGGTAGGCAAATGACTCTACCCCACCTGATGTTAAGTGGTGATAAAGTCCAAACGCGAATATAGCTGGTACAGCAGTTATAAACTGCTACACCAATCATCCTCACCTTGCCGGCCTGCAAAAATGCTTCTTCACACCTCTCTTAAAGGACCCCAGATTACAGGAAGGAGGGAACACGTGCGCGGGCAAAGAATTCCACTTACGAATAGTACGACAAAGAAATGAGTCACCAAATTTCTTTTTCGTGTAGGAATAGTGGCCACAGTAAGTCGGTGGTAACGAAGGCCAGCGCGCGTGGTCCTCTGAAGAAAAGGTGATGGAGGGATAAGCGAGAATAGCTCCTCAGAACACCCGCCGAGGTATAGTTCGTATGTTTGTTACTCAATCACGCAAAAAGTACTCAATAGGTTTGGATGAAATTTGGCACGCATATAATATACAACCTGAATTGAGACATAGGATAATTTTCATCCCGGAAAAATCTTAGGTTCTTGTAGGCTGTCAATAAAAAAATTGTGTGCATGGACCACACATCTGAAGTGAAACTTGTTTTCTTAAATAACCTGACATTAGGCACTGCATAAGGCATAGGGCAGTGTTTCCTAACCTTTCCAATACTGCTGCCCCTGTAACCTATTAGGAAAACAGATTTTACCCCGACTGTAAAATGTTATCATCAGTCCAAGAAATTACAATTTGGCCTCTACATCTTCGTCTCTAATAATGTCATCATCAGGAGATAATCTCGCCCCGCTTCCCACACTCGGCACCCCGCTTGCTAGCAAAAAAGAGCGCATTTAGTAGTATTATTATATAGTATTTTCTTATTATTTAGATTTGACCAAATAATTAAGTTCTTTGTTACCCCCGAAGTATGGCTGATTTACCCCCGGAGGGGTAATTACCCCCAGGTTCGGAACCCAGGGCATAGGGGAATGGAGCAGCGCACTGTTATATCTGATATATGTTAGGTATATTGCTGCTCCCACTGACCATTATGTCTGGTCAGCACTCCGGAACTCAAGCCCTATCCTCCATTCAGTGCGGTTGCCTACGGATCGTTTTATCGTATTTACCTATAAATTTATATATTTCTATTGTTCAAGAAATAAAAGTTCAAGTGTAATTAAAATATTATTTTTTTAAAATCCCTTTCGCGATTATCCGCGTAACAACACGCATCACTCATATAATATATACATATATATATATTGTCGCTTGTGACGCTCGTAGCGTTTCAGCCTTCGCCGAGTTAGCCTCCAAATTTCTTGCTCGTCGGGAAGAACTGCGCACGCATCCCACACACACACACACACACATATATATATATATATCTAATAGGCTGGTCCAACTAGTGACGTCAACAATTTTTTTTAGATTCCTCGCATCTGGGGGTATCCGAAAATACTTTTTTGTAAAATTCCACATGCTAAAGTTATTTTACAGGAATTTCAATTAAATTAAATTTGAAATTACATTTTTAAGTTTAATTTACCATAACAATGATAAAAAGTAAATAATACAATTTTTAATGCTTTAATCGTGTTTCAATGATTTTTAGCCTATCCGCCTTCGAAGGCCAATTACAACAAAAATAGACTGATTGAGTACATTTTTTTCATGTTTTTTGGTAGTTTAGAAGCATGCGGAGTTTTTGATTTAAGTCAAAAGCTATAGAAACTTCTTTTTGTATTTTTAAATTTAAGTTGAATATTGAGTAAATCCTTCTAAAAAATAAAGTTCCAACTTTCAAGCTTTTTTTGAGTAACTCTAAGTAATTTCAGGACTGACTTATTTTTGAAGTTATACTTCTTTAGGCGCGTTGTGAAAAATTGATGAGAGTGAAATTTTAAGATGCGCGCGCATCATGTAACACTAAATTTTAACACCGTCGCTAAAGCGACCAACTTCATGTACCGCGCTGCCATTACCGCGTCGCCCGCCGCACCGTACGCATGCGCGGCCACTCGCGGTCCTAGCGCGGGAAACACGTACAACAAACATCGGGAAAAGTTACGAGTTTTGAATTTAGAACATATATATAAAAATAAAACCCGTTTTCCGTTGTCACGACATAACATGAAAACGGCTTGACCGATTTGGCTGTTTTTTTTTGTAGTTTTCTAATACTCTGTACAAGGTTCTTACGGAAAAAAATATAAAGAAAATCCCAAGGGGATAAAATAAGGAATGAAAGTTTGTATGAAACTTTATCAATTTTAAACCGATCGGGCTGAGACTTTGCATGCAGGTATAAGAAGAATCATAGATGAATGTCATTGTGTATAATACAAGCCTGAGAACAAAAACTGTAGTCTACACTTCAGCTCTACACCGAAGCGAAGCGAGGGCGGGCCGCTAGTTTATAATATTTATCCACATGTTTCTAGTTTGTATGTTCGGAATACGTGTTTGAGTTTCATACAAGTGCAAATCACATATGTTCTAATAAATTATATTCAGTAGCGATTTTAATTGAATATTTTGATTATTTATTTATTTTTTCAAATTAAAACTGAACTTTATTGACTGTGTCCTTTTCCAGACTTTTTATTAATTTATTGTAATTAATTATTTGCATGCAATTAAAAACTAATTTTAAACGATGCCAAAGAAGGATAACTTCTCACGCGCCTACATAAGTACACGCACCCATTTTTTTTTATTAAAACAACATTCAAGACGATTATGTCACAAAAAAAAGACTGCAAAATACCTACTACGAAAAAAGATATGAATTTTTGAAACCTCCCTGGCAGAAATAATTAAAATACACAAAAAAAAAATATCACTCGAAAACTAAGGAACATCGCGGAACATACATGGGGTATTTTTGGATAGGTGTGAGGAATCTAAAAAAAAATTGTTGACGTCACTAGTTGGACCATCCTGTATATTATATGCCTTATGCAGCGCCTAACGTTAGGTTATTTAAGAAAACAAGTTTCACTTCACATGTGTGGATCGTACACGATCATGTTTTTTTGGTGAATTGACAAAAGAAAAAATAATGACTGAATAAATAGAATTTCGTTTACTTTACCCCGTCAGAGGTGTCGATTCTGGCATGTATCTCTTAAGCTAAACTTAAATTTGACAACAGTGTATCCTTGTAATTCTCTATACAGAATGAAAAGGACGGAGTGATGTTAAATTAAGTGTTCATCATCATCATCAGCCTCTTTAATCTCCCCACTGCTGGGGCACAGGCCTTCCCTATAGATGGAATAGGGAGATTGGGCCATGACCCACCACGCGGGCCCAGTGCGGATTGGTGGGTGCTAACGACTGCAGATGCAACCGGGACCAACGGCTTAACGTGCCTTCCGAAGCACGGAGGAACTCGAGATAGAAATTTTTGGTCACCCATCCAATGACCGACCACTGCGAAAGTTGCTTAACTACAACGATCGCAGCCGAACCACCACCTGCGCCATCGAGCTCCTCGTTTCGTCTAAATTAAGTGTTAAGTTTAGAGAATCCTGCCAGAATCGACACCATAACCGCTATGATCCACTCACCCTGTAGCAGGCAGCACGGTGGGAATGCGCCACGTGTTCAAACATATTGGACACTTGTTCACCCACTTCTCGTCTCGCTCTATTTTCTGCACAAATAAGAGGTGACAACTATATTTCTTAAAAGTCTTGATAGACCACATTAATCAATAAACAAATATAAAAGAGAAAAAAAATTGTGTGTGTCAGCTCCGACGCACGACCGGAGTTTACACTCTAAAAACGATTGTCTTTGAACAGACACAAAACAAAATCAAGTCCGAAGAAGTCGGCTACAAGTAGAGATACCTCAGGAATCGTCCCATGGTTTCGACTATCATAGGTTCCATGTCACACATTTTATCATCTAACATCATCGATATTCATCATATATTTTATTATGTACTAGCTTTTGCCCGCGACTTCGTCCGCGTTATCGTCGTTTTTCGTAAAAAAGTAGCATATGTCCTTCCTCAGGGTTCCGTGGTTTTGATGTGACAGACAGATTAACTTTCGTATTTTAGTAGGGAAATATAATACTGTTAAAAATATCGCAATAAGGAACCGCAGAATATTATTATTATCACTGTGCCCCGAGACCATCAGCGTGTAACTCCTTGTATGTTATTATGTTAATGTATTGGTAATATTGTTTAGATCGCTTTCACATGAGTCTTAAGTACATATAGAATGAAAATACTTCAGCGCAGAGCTTCTGGGTAGACTACGTTGAAATTTGACCCGTCCGGAACGTGAACATAAAAAATTCTAGGACTGCTAACCCGGGAAACACCGGCATAACTGACCATGTGAATAACAACTGACACCGAGATCTACTCCAACAACACGAAAGGTCTGCCCTTGACCCTTATTTATTGTCATTGCATAACACACCGATACTGGGAATTGCGTTCTTTTAAATTGGAATGGAAAATTATTTGGTATTATGGGAATTCTGGGAATAAAGATGGTTTCTCCTGCACCGCAACCTATTAAAATTTGAGCCTCGATTACATTTTGTTACAACTGGGTTACTTTAAGCCGAGTTCCATTGCAAATTTGTGGTGGTCTTAAATTTCGGAGTAGAATAAAATCATAATGCCAATTTTTAAACAAATTTCATGAGAAGGAAGTACGGGCATATTTAAAGAATTTAAAAATTCTATCGGGTAATTAGTGGCTTCTTGTTCATCGGCCATTCTATTTATTGAACTATAAACTTTGCTTTCCCCCTGGATATTCGACAGTATTTTATTATTAATCTCAGATGCCTGGTCATTGCGAGGAGTTAAAATGGACCTTTCGCATAGCCAAGAATTGTTCTTATTTAATATATTTGTTACGTCACCGTAAACTGACGATGTAAGATGTTGTTGGGATTGCACTATACAACATAACTCAGGCGTCAGAATAAGTTTTCCTTGGTGTAGCAGTGGATAGGTATCTTTGGTGAAGGTATTTTCTTTAATAATATATCAGAAAATTCACGATCATCCGGGTTATCTACAGTTCTCACTCGCATGTTTATAGTCAAATGCACCGATTGTATATCACTCCACAAATAACACCTTTTCAGGCAAGCCCTAACCTCAGCAGCTCGGGTTCCCCATGGTATTACCGTTAAGGTTTGTCGGAAATCACCACAAAATAAAACTGTGATACCGCCCATGGGTCGATCATTTTGTCTTATATCTCTTAAAGTTCTGTCTACCGCTTCTACTCCTTTTCGATGGGCCATCGTACATTCATCCTATATGATTAAATTACACTTTGAACGAATATTTAAACACTACCAAAACAACTAATACGTGGTCCTAACTTTAGCTACCTTACACATAAAATCTAAGTGACTATTTGAACTAAAATATTCTTATAGAATTATAACCAGAAATATATACAACTCACAACAAAAAAGAAATGAAAATAAAGCTGAAACGCCTATGCAATACTATCTACCTATACCTCCTTCACTTAAAAATAAATACTTATAACTACTTTAATTAATAAAAATACCTACGCTTAATAATTTTTAATTTGAACGAATATTTAAACACTACCAAAACAACTAATACCTGTTTTACAAAATAACAACAAAAAAAATTCAAATAAACTATTTAAAGACTAAAAGTCGCGCTGATAAGCACGGTTTCGGTCTCCCAGGCGGGGGAGCAGATGAGAAATCCTCATGGATACCCTACAGCCGGCTGCAAGGTTATGTCAGACTCGTACTGACTAAAAAACACCCGTAGGGGCTGCCTCTGGCCGGGAAGGCCTCTAAGGCTTCATCGGAAGCGATCGTCCCCCAGGGGGGAGCGACGCAGAAAACAGATTTAGACAGCTTGCTCTCGGACCTTTGATACCCTACCGCTGCCGCGACCCGTGTCGAGCGCGGCAACCGTTACACAAAAATAATCCTTATAGCATGATTCAGTATTCACGTGCGACGGCGCGATGGCTTATTTCATGTATAAGTTTGGTGTTTCTATACCGAGTATTATAAACGTAAGAGTAAACAAATATGATCAGAATGCTCCGAACTGCTAAGCTATCGGGAGTTACACGTGTTATTGTGAGTCAACCATAAAAGATAGACATATGCTGTTGCGGGATATTTTTAGACAATTTTATGTAGAATATTTCCGTCATACATGATTTCTATGTAACTTTAATCATTAAGGCTGCACACGCGACGGAAGCTTAAAAAATGGAGTAACTTCTCCCGTTTTCCCAACATTTCCCTTCACTACTCTGCTCCTACTGATTGTAGCGTGATGAAAAGTATACTATAACCTGCCCAGGAGTATGAAGAATAATTGTACCAAGTTTCGTTAAAATCCGTCGAGTAGTTTTTGTTTCTATAAGGAACATACACACAGACAGACAGACAGACAGACAAAAAATTTACTGATTGCATTTTTGGCATCAGTATCGATCACTAATCACCCCCTGATAGTTATTTTAAAAATATATTTCATGTACAGAATTGACATCTCTACAGATTTATTATAAGTATAGATTTCTGGAAACACACAATTTCAAAAATATCACACACTAGTCATCATTTTGTAAATATGTATTATAATTCCATCTGTACTGAAAATCACTATTCCAGAGTGCTGGACACTTACCGGCATTTCTCTATATTCTGTTATTTTTTTTTTCATTAATATTGCTCCGATTTTGTCTATTTTTAGTTTATTTATTTTATTGACACTTGTGACAACTTAATGTTTTTTATCCGTTGCCATGGCTAAAAGTGAAAGGTGCGCAGATGAGGTTGCGCACAAAAACGTAACGAGGTCATTAATGTCGTTCATCGATAGATTTTACTCCTCACATTTTTCTCATACCGGGCCCCTTATATATGCAAATCGATTCTTAAGGAGTAAACTCCAATAAATTCTTGTGTCGATTTGTTATCCTAATCGAAGGACCAAGCGTGTGAAGAAATAGAAACAGGAATTTTGTTACTACAATATTGGTAGAATGAGAACAGAAAAAATATATAACATCAGGTGCCAAATTAACCAGCCAGTCCTCGTAGCATGAGGACCACAATTTGCATTATATCACGTCTTTTATCGCGTCTAACTGTCAAACTCCACTCCGTGATAAAAACGCGTTATATATCATACTAGCGGCCCGCCCTCGCTTCGCTTCGGTGTAGAGCTGAAGTGATGACATTCATCTATGATTCTTCTTATACCTGCATTCAAAGTCTCAGCCCGATCGGTTTAAAATTGACAAGGTTTCATACAAACTTTCATTCCCTATTTTATCCCCTTGGGGGTAGAATTGATCAAAATCCTTTCATAACATCTACCTGCATGCCAAATTTCAGCCCGATCCGTCCAGTGGTTTGGGCTGTGCGTTGATAGATCACTATGTCAGTCAGTCACCTTTGAGTTTTATAACAAAAATATTAGATGTAAGGATAGAAAGGATATAGCTGGCCTTTCAATTGAACGTAGCATTGAGCTATCTTGTGTGGAACTAAATAAGATGATAATAGTATGCGTATACCGACCCCCTGTAGGTAACTTTAACATTTTTGAATCTGTAATGGAGGATGTACTGAAAAAGTTAAAGTCAAAAAATAAGTTTTTGGTTGTTTGCGGTGACTTTAATATTAATATTCTTGAACAAAATTCAATGTCAGTACGTATAATATCACTATTTAAATGTTTTAATTTGATCCATCAATTTTTTGAGCCGACTAGGGTGACATCACATTCGGCAACTTGTTTGGATAATGTATTTACAGATAGTACTCCTGATAGTAAGTCTATTTTTAATAGTATTACATCTGACCATTATGGCTTAAAAATACAATATAAAATAGATGTAAAAAATGAAACCAAAGTAATTGAATTGAGACCAGTAACAGAAAACAGGTTAGAAAATTTTCAAAAAAACATTGATGATAGGATTTCTCATATCCCATGGACACATGATGATCCTGATATTCTTTTTGGGGATCTTTTTAATCTAATAAGGAATGAATTCGATAAGGCTTTTCCCTTAAAAACTTCGAAACTTACTCAGAAGTTACAGTTCTGTGATTGGGCTACGACTGGTATCTATAAAAGTAGAAACAAACTTTATGAATTGTATCATCTGAGAAAATATAATCATTCACAAAGTTTTATTGATTACGTTAAATGTTATTCTAAAACCTTCAAAAAGGTATGTGCAACAGCCAAATCTAATTTTATTAAAAATAAAATATGTAAATCGAATAATAAAATCAAAACAACGTGGAATGTTATAAATCGTGAAACAGGCAAAGAAAGGCCACGTGACGATATTATTGAAATTAAGTCCAATAATATTCTAATAAAATCTAAGGAACATATCGCTAATATTTTTGATGATTATTTCGTTAATGTTCCTTTGGTGGCTACATCTAATTTGAGCTCTTCAACGGTGGCTGCCAAGACATTGCTCGAGAAATATGTACCTAAGTGTGATAACGTGTTTCAGTTTAGACATATTAGTTTTATTGATGTTATTAAGTGTTTTAAATCTCTTAAACAAAAAAATACAAGTGATTTATGGGGTATTTCTACTAAAGTTATTAAAAGTATAATACCCGTTATTGCCCCTTATCTAGTTGATATATTTAATAACTGTATTGATCAAGGCGTATTTCCGGATTTGATGAAATACAGTAAAGTTATACCTCTTTTTAAATCAGGAAATAGAAGTGAACCTGGAAATTATAGGCCTATATCAATATTACCGGTTCTAAGTAAAATATTTGAGAAAATTATTCTGGAACAATTAATGCCTCATTTCAACCTAAATAAACTTTTGCATAGGAAACAATTTGGTTTTACCAGAGGTAGATCTACTACTGACGCGGGTGTTGCACTTGTAAGGAGTATATTGGAGGCTTGGGAGAGGTCGCAGAATGTTCTTGGAGTGTTCTGTGACTTATCCAAAGCTTTTGATTGCGTTGATCATCACACGCTGTTATTGAAATTAAGTCATTATGGAGTCAAAGGTACTGCATATAAATTAATACAGTCGTATCTCAGTTCCAGAATTCAAACTGTAGAGGTAAATGGTGTTAGATCATCTGGATCTCATGTGGAAATGGGCGTTCCCCAGGGTTCAATTTTGGGTCCCTTTCTGTTTCTAGTATATATAAATGATTTGCCATTTTTTGTAGAAAATTTGTGTGAGATAGTATTATTTGCTGATGACACATCTTTATTATTTAACGTTGACAGGCGCAAGAACAACTATGACGATGTTAATAATGCTCTCTCGCAAGTTTTGCAATGGTTTAATGTTAATAATCTAAAGCTAAATGCTAATAAAACCAAGTGTATTAAATTTTCTTTACCTAATGTAAAAGTCGAACATATTGAAATTAAATTAAATAATAATAAATTAGATTTAGTAGACTCAACTACATTCTTGGGTATAACTATAGACTCAAAACTGCAATGGAATCATCACATTACGCTTTTGGCTGGTAAACTTAGTTCAGCAGCTTATGCCATAAGAAAGATAAGACAACTTACTGATACAGAAACTGCCAGGACTGTATATTTTAGTTACTTTCATAGTATCTTATCATACGGCATTATACTCTGGGGAACAGCAGCTGATATTGAAAGTATATTCATTCTACAAAAAAGAGCTGTGAGATCTATTTATCAATTGAGTAGCCGAACATCTCTTAGAGAAAAATTTAAAGAAATCGGCATTTTGACTGTTGCTTCTCAATTCATTTACAATTGTATACTCCTCGTTAAAAATAATATCAATTTGTATACCAAAAACAGTAACGTGCATAATTTTAACACAAGGAATAGAAATAAGCTTGCATTGCCACCCTACAGGTTACAGAAGGTTTACCGATCTTTTATGGGTCAAGGTATACATTTTTATAATAAAATTCCTGATGCCATTCTTGAGTTACCCATAAATGAGTTCAAGTGTCACATTAAAAATTGTTTACTTAAGAAAGGCTATTATACTATTAAAGAATACTTAAATGACAAAACTGCATGGCTGTAACTGTAAATTTGTTTTGTATTTGTTTGCAGTGTCGTACAGATAAATTACCTGAATTCTAAGTAACTATTTTACTTGGTTTGAGTGGTTATGGGTAGTCATGCTCTCTTAAAAATCTCTTCGGCGGTGTCGTGTGAGGCGGGTCGTTGCGTTCCCTACAATATGGTTGAGCGAAACGATGGCTGGTTCATGCGTCATGCTCGTGAACGGGTGCTGCCAGCGGAGATGAGTCTGCTCTATACTACTTTATTATTATTATAATGATAATTAATTATTTAAGTTAAATTTTATTTGTAATTGTATTTATACTGTATGGCACAGCAATCAGAAACAAAAAATTTAGGTGAACATTTATTATTTCTGAGATAAAGATTTAATGGTGGTGTGGATTCTGGCATGGTTCTCTAGACCTGAACTTTGGTTTTGCAGCGGTGTATCCTTGTCATTCTCTATACAGAGTGAAGGGGGGGCACTGATGTTGGGTTTGGTTTTGGGTTTGGAGGGTAGTGGCAGAGTCGACACTAGTGTTTAGGTAACCACATGCATGTGTCCTACAGTTGTGTTTATAGTTTTTTATAGTAATGTACACTGGTACTTAATTTTTTTTTCCCTATTTTGCTATCTAGTATCCATATGTGGTTATGGGTAGTCATACTCTCTTAAAAATCTCTTCGGCGGTGTCGTGTGAGGCGGGTCGTTACGTTCCCTAAAAAATGGTTGAGCGAAGCGATGGCTGGTTCATGCGTCATGCTCGTGAACGGGTGCTGCCAGCGGAGATGAGTCTGCTCTTGCTACATTGGGTACTATTAATCGTTGTATTTAACTTTAATGGTACATTTGTTTTTATGCCTAAACAGTGGGACACGGCATTCCTAAACTTTTTTTCATTTTTAAATCTGTTTTTTATATTTTTTATTTTATAGTCATAATTGTTTTATCATTTACATTTGTAATGGAAAGTGACTTCATGGGTTATCTCATATTGAACTCATTTTTCAAATTGACGACTCTGTATATAATACAGGGAGAAAAAAACAGCCCTTGCTGAGTTTCTTGCCGGTTCTTCTCAGTACAAGGTCTCCCGCCGTAGATTTGCGAACCGATGGCGTAGCTTTTCGACATTCACAAGTGCTTGTAACAGCCTAGACTGAATAAATGATATTGAATTTTGAATTTTTTAAATTTTTTTGAATTTTTTATATACTCGTATATATAGATAGCGGTGCTCAGGCTAAGGCATTGTCCTAATACAACGCGATAACGCGATCATCGCGCGTTTAAACGACGCGACCAGCGCGTGATCGCGAACTGGGTGTCCTAATAGAACGCGAATACGGAACGGGTTAGCCCTGCCCCTCTCCCCGCTTCCTATCGACGCGACGCGATCATCGCGCGAACTTCAGTTAGAACTTAGGACACCTATTCATCAATAATAGGTTTGATTGCGCGAATAGATTTTTAAACATTTTAGTCGCGCGAATGCATCGCGCGATCGCCTATTAGGACACTTATTCTAAATCAATATGTTTGATCGTCGACTCGTACGATGATCGCATCGCTCATTCGCGTTATCGCGTTGTATTAGGACAATGCCTAAGGGGACAGGTTCAGTTAACCGGGCATATAGTAATTAAGGTTTTTGAACATTTAACTGCTTACAAGTATTAAACATTTGAAAGAAGTAGCAATTGTAGTTTATAATACATATTTTTATTTTTCTAGTATTTAATTGCTAGATGTTATTTAGTTTATTCTTTTATTTATCTGTGTCACGCTTGAATCACCGATGATACTTTGCCAGCACAGTAAAGATAATATAGCAATAGATTATGTAACAATTTTATTTCAAAGATTGTATAACAAAACAGTAATTATTTAGTGTAAGAGTATTTTTGTATCCACCTTGTCATATCGTTGTATGTAATGCAACAATTATCAAGCATTAAGGTGTGTTTGTTTATGACAAGATAGATAACTGATTTGGGAGTGTCAAGTTTTTAGCGTTGATGATATAATCCGATAAGTAAAAGTTTTTTGATGTTATCAAGCAATTGAAGAAGTTATAAATATTAAACTATCTTAGTTATTTATCTGCTTATGGGGTTCCGTACCGCAAAAGAACAAAGGGAACTCTTATAGCCTGTGCAGATGAGGACATTTATCTGCGGTTTTTTGTCCACCGAAATAGATCACTTAGGCCCACTTGCATGTTCTAGGGTTAATTTATTTACCTACGAGTTAATTATTAAACTGGGGTAAAAAAATATTTTTTCTTGCACTGTCAAGAATTAACGCTTAGGTTAAATAATTAAATAATTAACCCGCCAAAGTTGGAGGGTTAAATTGCTAACTCGAGATTTAAAACCTCAAAATTGTTAAAGGTTATTATAGGCTGTGTTGTTTGTTTTTATAGAGATAACATTTTATTTTATTTATTTGTGAATGATGGATGACTTTTTGTTTTCTGATGACGAATAAACTGTCGACTATAATATAAGTAGGTACATATTTTTTGACCGATTTTTTTCGCGATCAGTAATTACCAGTAAGAACAGGATTATATTCTTCCATTATATCCTGCCAAGCTTTTTGTTTTTGAAAAAGAGTAGCGTTTTTTTTTATTTTCAATAATATTTTTATATTTGTATAAAATATCACATAGGAGTAAACTGTCACTACTTGTAAAATTCGGGGCACGTAAACGAGATTTCTTCTTCAATTTACAAAACAAAACCGCACGAAACTGTTGTTACAAATACAAACTTACGAGATAGATAGGTACTTTAAAAACACCATGCAATAAGTATACAAAAACCTATTTGACAGACAGGACGCCATTCAACTTAAACGTCCAAAAACACCACGTCTTTTCAAATTTGACATTACGAAAGAGATATATCGCAGGAACTGTACGAGGAAGGCGCCGTATATAGTGTAGTGTGGTGCGTATAGATATATACTGACTTGTGGCGGGGGCGGTACAGGCATGGCGGCGTGGTGTCGCGGGGCGGAGTCCCACCATCGCAGGAACTGTACGAGGAAGGCGCCGTATATAGTGTAGTGTGGTGCGTATAGATATATACTGACTTGTGGCGGGGGCGGTACAGGCATGGCGGCGTGGTGTCGCGGGGCGGAGTCCCACCATCGCAGGAACTGTACGAGGAAGGCGCCGTATATAGTGTAGTGTGGTGCGTATAGATATATACTGACTTGTGGCGGGGGCGGTACAGGCATGGCGGCGTGGTGTCGCGGGGCGGAGTCCCACCATCGCAGGAACTGTACGAGGAAGGCGCCGTATATAGTGTAGTGTGGTGCGTATAGATATATACTGACTTGTGGCGGGGGCGGTACAGGCATGGCGGCGTGGTGTCGCGGGGCGGAGTCCCACCATCGCAGGAACTGTACGAGGAAGGCGCCGTATATAGTGTAGTGTGGTGCGTATAGATATATACTGACTTGTGGGGGGGCGGTACAGGCATGGCGGCGTGGTGTCGCGGGGCGGAGTCCCACCATCGCAGGAACTGTACGAGGAAGGCGCCGTATATAGTGTAGTGTGGTGCGTATAGATATATACTGACTTGTGGCGGGGGCGGTACAGGCATGGCGGCGTGGTGTCGCGGGGCGGAGTCCCACCATCGCAGGAACTGTACGAGGAAGGCGCCGTATATAGTGTAGTGTGGTGCGTATAGATATATACTGACTTGTGGCGGGGGCGGTACAGGCATGGCGGCGTGGTGTCGCGGGGCGGAGTCCCACCATCGCAGGAACTGTACGAGGAAGGCGCCGTATTCAACAACTCGCAGCAACCCCGCCCCCACCACGGGGAATGTGAGCATCGCGCGTCTGGACACAATAAACATCATCATCAGCCTATTAACGTCCACACTGCTGGAGCAAGGCGGTCTTCCATATAGATGAATTAGATAGATTGGGCGTAGGGAAAAATCTTGGGTAGCTGCAGTCCAGGCTCGATATAATCTCACATATTCGATAACCAGCCATCTGCTATCGCAGACTGATCCCGCTGACCCTTACACCATCGAGCTCCTCACAACAATGCTACGTATATAATGATCAGATTTCATTGATAAAAGGAAATGGGAAAATATTATGTATTGAAAGACACTGAACAGAGAATGAGAGGCCGGTAATGTAGCAGCTAGTCGGTAAAGATGTTTACGGCTTCACCTCGATCGTCCCGTGAATATAACCCTGAACAGTTCCCCGTAGTTGTCATCAGGCGGTTCCTGCGGCGGCGCGTCTCATAACGTAAGCCCTAGAATTGCCAGGGTCAACAAGGTGAGGTACCCCCGTCTGTATAAACCTTGTAAGAGGTTCTAAACTCAATCTCCCTGGAATATAGCCTTCAGCAGTAACCCGTAGGTGAAAACAGGCGGTTCTTGCGGCGGGGCATCTCGTAACGTAAGCCCCAGTATCGCCAGTTAAGTGTAAGCGAAGCAAGTAGTTAGAAACGTTGAATAAGAGCTCCTTACCTCAATTTCCCCATGAATATAACCTAGATAAGTTCCCTGTAGTTGTAATCAGGCGGTTCTTGCGGCGGGGAATCTCGTAACGTATCGTCAGTGTTAATGTAGGCGAAGCATTGGCGCCGGTCTGTCTGTCTAGTTGTATACGTCTTATAGGAGGTACTTACTTCAATCTTCCCGTGAATATAGCCTTGATAAGGTCCCCATAAGTTTAATCAAGCGGTTCTTGTGGCGGTGCATCTCGCCTAGTATCGCCAACGTCACCAAGGTGAGGGAGCCCGTCTGTATAAGCCCTTTAAGAGGTTCTTCCCTAAATCTCTCCGTGAATATAGTCTTCACCAGTTCCCCGTTGGTGTAATCATGCGGTTCATACGGTGGCGCGTCTCTTAATGCGAATGCTAGCAGCACCAGTAGACGCCTGTCTGTAAAGTTGTAATCTACCTGTAATTGAGACACTGTTACCTCAGTCTTCCCGTGAATATAGCCTTGATAAGTTCCGCGTAGGTGTAATCGGGCGGTTCTTGGGGCGGTGCGTCTCTCAGTGTGAGCCCTAGTATCGCCAGTGTGAGTGTGGGCGAGGGAGTAGCGCCGGTGAGGTATCGGCCCGTCTGCGCGAGTGCGGCGCAGGCGCTGGCCACGTGCACTACGCTGTATACCCTGACGGCGGCCACGCGCAGCCTGTCGCCCGTGCTCTATACGCCACAATACGTATTTTAATAAATAAAAAAGATACTGGACAGTAGACGCAGTATATTTAGGGCAAACCAAGTAGATATTGAGAGACTACTGAGTTTCATGCTGGAGCTGGAAAAGCGGGACTGAAGCCATCCCTCACACACGCAAAACGGGGGATCCCTGTTATACCGAGCCTTTTTTTTAGTGATAAAGGTGGTAAAAGCATATTACGGCCTGCATGATTGTACAATCAGTGCAGATCAGTAGATATACATACAAATTTGTTGAATAACACTGCTTTTGTTGACTTACTACTATACGACTACTACTAATGATCAAGGGCGGATCCAGGGGGGATCCAACCCAGGGGGATTTTATTTAAGTACTTTCAATATTTAATATACCATGACCATATGATCCCCCCCTGGCGCCAAAGCTGGATCCGCCCTTGCTAATGATGAACTTGCATCTGAGCGCAGAAAGGAAAGACTGCTGATTCAATTCAATAGCATAATGAATAAGGCTGTATTAAGATTTTCCAGATATAAGAGAAAAAACAGCAATATGATTAAATTAAAATAATAAACTACAAGTACCTTTCCGAGTTTCCCATCCTCCTCGTCTTCTCTCCAATTGTCAATTATTTTTTCAACTTTATCCCTAAGGTATGGGAACAACACAAGCAAGGCCAAGGAACCTTTTTCTAATGTGTCTGGCAGCCTCTGGTGGCCAGAATTGAATTCGCTGCTCACCGTTAATGGTACTCTCAGTAAACCATAGAAGCTTTCCGAAAAGGATGCAGCTACAAAAAGGAAATTCAAGTTTAAGATGGTGATAAAAAAAGTCATGATGATGAATGATGATTCATTTTTGAAATAAATTATAAGCATGCTTTTATTGTAATTGACATTAGTTTCCAGTTTACACAACTCACCATAATGTTTGAGGTAGTGGTACTGAAGGCAGCAGTCGAGGAGTAAGTACAATTCATCGAACCACAGTACCGACCACTCACACTGATCTGGGTACACAGCTGCCAGGTACTGATAGCAAAATGGTTTTATTAGTAGCATACAAATTTATAAACAAAAAGTAGTTCCCCTCAAACTATTTGAGAAAAGTATACTAACACAAATTGGGTTTATTACATTAAGAATCTAAAATACCCAGGCAATATTCTCTATTTATTTGGCAATATTAAATCAAATCGCTTATTCCCAGAAACAATTGAAATTTTCCACTGGTGATAGCTTTAATTTAATTTTCCCTTTTGTCACCACAACAATTGATGTTTGTCATCACTGGCAACAAATGTTACTTATTTTCTTGGCTGTACCCAGTGGAAATGAAGTGGTGTTGACTGGGAACAAGTGAATCAAATTCAGCAATTCTCAAATATTATACAACTAAACTGAATACATTGACCATAATATAATAAATTATTTTAAATTTCTAAGTTACATTGTTATTGTTGTTGTAGATTATGATTGCACACACATTTTTTTTTATTGCTGTTGCTTTATTAATATCCCTTATACAATACAATACAATACAAAACTCTTTATTTTTACACCACAGAAAACATAAAACATGAAGTACATAATTAAAGAATACAGTGTAATAATGGGCAGTCTTATCGCTAAGAGCGATCTCTTCCAGACAACCTTAGGATGGAGAGGACAGGAAAGAAGCTGGAGAGACGGCAGTGTAATTAACTATAAAAAACAATATAAAATCATTCTAACAAATATAATCAAAATAAGTATATAAAACAATACATATATATAATTATATACCTACAAGAATACATACATAGTCATATACATAAATATATATACATATATATAAATATATACACAAATACATACATACCTATGTCTAATTCATTCAGCTTAGATCAACAAAAATGAAAGGGTTACAATAACATATAGTGATCTAACAAGGTTTTTGAAAATGTGGAGTGATTTTGCACATCTTATGGAAACTTATAATATTCTTTCAAACCAAAACGAAGATAAATAGCAGCTAAGTTAATGACTATAATAGTAGATATGCCTTCAGTTTGTTTATAGAGGGAGACCTTGAACTGATTAGATTAGATTTCTTCAGTGATGGCTCCCTCAGGATTTGGCCAATATCTGGTGTTTATGTCCAAAATTTCTTGTCTAGGTTTGTTCGGTGAGGGTTATTTTTTTATTGTTTTTAACTCTGCTTATGCTGTGGAAGACCTTGAACTGACGAACACTACCTACTAATTTTAAGGGATATACTGTTTCCAGGGCCCAAAAGTAAAAACTTCAGTTTTGTTGGTTGTAATTTCGCATTTTTGTTGTTAAAAAGGTTTCTGTTAACCACATTATTAAAAAAATGTCACACTTATGCACTGGTAGTTTTTTAGAAAAAAATATTGAAAATTTTTACTTTTCTTATCAAGTGGTGATACTTACTTAGGTTAGGTTAGGTTAGTGTTGTGACCATAACGCGCGAGCCGAGCGAGCGTGCCGCGGCAGCGGCCGGCGAAGCGCCAGAAAAAAAAAATCTGTTAAAAAGACCTTTTCTACAAAAAAAAACAAGTATCACCTTTTGGGCCCTGGAAGTACAGTTTTACCATTTTAAGTTTTAATTTGTAAAGAGTTATCAGAGTAATTGGAAATACCTCAACCAGTTTCCTCAGAGCTGGTTTGACTGTGGAACCGAGGGCCTCCTGGGCAGTGACTTGGAATATCGACGGAGTACCCTGGAGGGTGCGAGTCAAGTGTGCGGCGTACACGGCCATATTACCCAGCTAACATTCAATAAATCTTTTGAAAAAGTACCTAGGGAATTTTCTTTTTCATAGTAAATCCAGGCAATTAACAAAAAAATACTCATAAAATAGAAAAACAAAACAACTCGCGCACGCTAAACTGACAATCAGCTGATGAATAATGTCACTGTCAAAAATTGCTTGCAAAATTCTTTTAATTGAGAAACCAAAGAATACAACTGCTATACTGCCAATACTTCTACTTTTTTTTCAATACAGTTTAATCATAAACATATGATAGATAAGCACTTTATTGTAGAAAAATATACAAACAGCCTTAACTTAGCTACAAAAGCCTCGAATTTATAATACAAATATTGGGTATTTGTTTCTTAGGTTTTCAGGCACATCACTCATTAAATAAAACTAGTTTTTTACGGGTTAATGCACGAAACTTTATTTATTTATTGACGTTTCGTATTCTGACGACGTAGCCTGTAAAGGCTACGAAACGTCAATAAGTAAATAAAGTTTCGTGCATTAACCCGTAAAAAAGACAAATATTGGGGGTTTGTGAACTTTTTTCCTCTTAACCCCATTCGACAAACACAATGTTTAATTTTAATGCCTTACAATAATTAAACACTAATATTATATGCTATTTTTTTTTATTTTACCTGATGGGGATCTAAGTATTGGGAACACAGAGTACCTTATTATGATTGGGAATAAGTGGAATAACCAGAGTCTACTACTTCACAACGACGCGACGGTCGTAAGGGAGTCGAGATGTTAGTTTCCGTAAGAGATTTATAGAAGTGTGCATGTGTAACCTCCCCATTTATACCAAGAAACAAAAACAAGTCATATGCTAGTTGTACACAAAACTTGTAGCATACTTGTGTTGTGACGTGACTGATTGAAACATTCTTTCGTTTACACTGCGTAAACAATTTTAATATCTTTGAATGACTTATTTTTTTATCCAAAAAACATTTTTTTTATTTAATAAAATTAAAACAAACTTATTTTAAGGGAAATAGGGAAAAGCGGATTCCTCGCTTGAACCAGAGCGCTGCCGCCCGGGTGAGTAACTTCTGTAAGTAATCTTCATTTTAGAGATGACAGTGAACCAATATTGCAGGGTTCTATGGGTTTAATGCTATGGCGGCCGCTTACCATCACAAGAGCAATTATGCTTGTTTCCATTCCTTTCTACATTAAAATTTAAGGCCCGTATTACAGAATGACAACTAAGTGTTGATCTTTACTTGAGTACAGTTAGAAAGGGATGTCGCTATGTTCTATATATAGGGACATCCCTTTCTATCTATGCTCAAGACCAGATTAATTACTGAGAATCTTTCTATAATACGGCCTAAGAAAACTATACTCAGGTACAGTTCCAAGCCTCATTTAACCACAAAAAATATCAATGATTAAGAAGGAACACAGCAATAAAAACAATAGTTTACTAAAATAATTTATTTATGAGTTACCTACATACATCTCATCATACAATATTCTCGATAAGCATTACATTTAGCACCTGCAACTTGAAAGCGCGATCCATTAGACACTATCAGCAACTCTTCAGTCTATACAAATGTGTCAAAATTCACGGATCAATTTTTAACCTTAACAATTGGACTTAAAGTTCAAAATCAATAATTTCAACAATTTGTGGCTTTTAACATGCTGTTTTATCAGTCCTTAACAAACTATAATAATGACTGTGTACAAAGATTTATCATTAGAATATGATTAAATCTGCTTAATCCTTCTTATAATAAGGCCTTCACACTCTCTAAAGTAAAAAAATGGTGTGCACATCTGAAGTGAAACTTCTTTTCTTAAATAAGTTAACATAAGGGGGTGCGGTGCGGTGATATGTATATATATATATTGTCGTGTGTGACGCTTGTGACGCTCGTGTTCAGCCTTCGCCGAGTTACCCTCCAACTTTCATGCTCGTCGGGAAGAACTGGGCACGCATCCCACACACACATACATATAAATAGTCGTGTGACGCTCGTGACGCATTTCCGTATCATTTTTTCCATAGGATTATTCCATTTAAAAAAGGTCTGATAAGAAGCTATGAATGTTGATGTCCCTAAGATTCAGCGTAATAGGGTATTTGACAGTGTTAAAAATAAAGTGCCAATTGTTAGCATCTGTGTTTAGAATTAATATAGGCAGGGGTTTTTACTATTTTTACAAAAAAAAAACATAATTTTACAAAAAACTAACGAAAAAGATAATAGTTTTCTTATCTATTGTCACGTGACCCAAAACGCTTGGGATTGGCGGAGCCTAAAATGACGTCACACGCAAGTAAACTTCCGGTTAAAGTGACATTACATTGTATCATTTGACGTTTTAATAACAGTCGTGTGACGTAACACACTAGTAAGACGCCATATTGTCCAGAGAAACGTTTTAGCGGCAACTTGAAAATAGTGTTTTTGATTTGGTTATTTTTACTGAAACCCACAACTGAATGATGAATATCCACTTTCTACGGACTCCATAAACATTAGTCAATAACGTGAGATGGTTTTTTAAAACTTGTCAAATACGCTATTATCAAGAAAGCGTGCTTCTTAAAAATTAAGTAACTGCTCACAATAATAAAATTATATCAGTCACAAAGACTAAATAGTCGCAGTGAGTACACTCAATTTAAAATTATCGTAACAAATTAATCATCGTTTTATACATAAAAATATACCTACTAAATTAACTCGCAATTTGGTCCTTAAAGCATACATACACCTTATTATTTGTATGGAGTAACATTAAATTACCTACCAGGACCACATGGAATAGGGCCAATTGTGCAGGGGATGCTTAACCACTTGTAATATATAGACAACTAAACTATATTCAGGTTATCATTTTTATTTTTAAAGCATGTAACTGCTTGATGTTTAAATCTAAAGAAAATATAACTAGAAAAAATTCCACGCGGACCAGGCAGCAGACGGGACTCGAACCCGCACCCTTCGCAATCCGGGCGAATGCACTGACCAATTATGCTACCGCGGCCCTCACGGGCCGCGTCGAAATTCCTCTAGCCATTCTTAAGCTGCAAGGCAGCGTCATCACTTCGCATTACAGGTAACCTACAATGTCAAATGAATACATTTACAAGTATTAAACATTTTAAAGAAGAAATAGCAATTATAGTTATAATTTTTACTTTTTAAAGCATGTAACTGCTTGATGTTTAAATTTAAAGAAAATATAACTATATGTATTCAGGTTTCGTCTCCGTAGCATGGGACCACAATTTACATTATATCAGGTTTTTTATCGCGTGTAACTGACACACTTCATAGTGATTTGACAATTATGATTTGCGTGATAAAAACGCGCTATATATCATATCGCGGTGCCATGTTAGGGGGGCGGGTCAAGTTACCCAAAAAAGTTAATTTATCCTTTGAGGCTTTGAGCTTTAAGATACTTGACGTAAGATTCACAATTAATTGAGATAATTTTAGACTTTGCGGAAAATTACACTTAATATTTTTAAAAAGTGTCTGCTCTGTGAGGGCATTTAATTTTCACAACCGAAACAATTGACCGCTGTAAAGCCGCCCCTCCCATGGTCTGCGGGACGCGGGAGTGGGAGTGGGAGGGGGAGGGGGAGGGGGAGGATGCTGTGGACCAATCAATCAGTAGCCTGTCGGCTGCCGACAGCGATACACGTTCAACTCCAGACCTGGGGGCCAATCGCCTAACGGAAATGCTTTGGAAAACGCTAACTCTTACGATTTTATATTGTTATTTCTAGCCGCCTGAGGTTTTCGAATACCTCACGCTCATTTTTTTTAATATTGTTATTACCAATGCAAAAGAAAAAGAAAGAGCGCGAGGCATTTGAATACCTCAGGCGGCTAGAAATAACAAAATAAAATCGTAAGCGTTAGCGTTTTCCAAAGCATTTCCGTTAGGCGATTGGCCCCCTGGCGCGGCTGCAGCTTTGTTTCCGCTACACACGAGACTAATTTATAGCTTTGCATACAATAAACATGGAATAACCGAGACTACGTAATGACAAGTTAAGAAGTCAAGCAAATATTACGCTATTAAATGTGTCGAATTAAATAAACATATTATTTTATACTTAAATATATTTTTCTTTGTATTAATATTTATGGCAAGACTACGTATTGAAAAAAAATGTAGGTCCATGTTACAAAGTCAAATTTTTTTTTTTTTTGAGAATCAAATTAATACACTATTTCATTCATTTTACTAATACAAACACTAACACTTTTGAAATAATAATACGAAGATTTATATATCATGAGATATCTCTGTGCATTGGCAATGTCGTGTGTACCCACACTCACGCCGCCCGCCTTATTACGAGTACAGAAGGGTCGACTTTACAGCGGTATAGCTATAAGACACCATAAAGTCTAAAATTTTGCTCAAGCTGCTGTCATTCTTATATGTACCAAGCAAAATAAAGCACAAAGTGACTTATGAAACATTTTTGGATAAAAATCTAATCTTTTATAGACTAGAATCTCAGTTCTGCTACACAAACAATTCTTTCATTGAAATCAACAAGCCCAGCAGGTAATTTTATGTCACATCATCCATACATACTCTAATTATAAGTGTAACTCCAAAGTAATATTAGTGACTCGCAAACTTGATGGCTTACAATACATAGTAGGAACATAATGCGATCCGTGTTCCAAAATACACTTTATACTAACGGAATAAGATACATCTCGAACGACGATCCTGTCCATACACTTTTAAAATTTTGGGCTTAGAGATCGTTTATCGATGGTGGAATTTTCGTAGTAATTACGAAATATTTCTTTACAAATAAACAACACAAAAACGATAAACAACATGATGTGTTATAATGCGATTCAAATAAGAATAGGAAAGCCAATAGCCTCCATCTGTCAACTGTCGCATGAAGTATGGTTTGCAAAAAATCTCCGAACACTTTTTTTAGCACTCAGCTAATTCTAGATTAAAAACCAAAAATTTTTAAACAAACAATAACAAAAATTGATAATTAATATTGGTTTATATTTTTTTTCATTTATTGAGGTTTGATTATGGATGGTTGATAACCTAAATCGTCAACCAAATGTCACTATGTTGCGTTCAGAACTCGATTTAAAACTTTCGTTTACATATAGGATGCGTGTTCGTATGTGACCTGCATGATTATTTATAACTACTCCGGCGGTAATGCAGAGATTTCCGTTCATCTCGAAAGAGCTAGATTCTGATTAAATGTTTATTAAATAGAAACTTTTTTTTGCTCACTCTACCTATTTGGTTTGAATTGACAGCTATGACGTCAAAATATGGCGCCCAGTCGGTCCTATTCTTAGTTGAATAGCATTATACGTGTACATACTTCTTTATTAAATTCAGTGTAAAAATAACAGATAGTGCATTTTTACATTCTATAAGTAGTTTTTTCATTCTATATTTATTTAGGCATTCAACTGCTACTTACACACACTCATATATATGTTATTGTAAAATATAGTATGTTTTAACCTACTTACATAGGGTAGGTTTCATAATTTATTAAGAAAGGTTAGTAATTTGAAAAACAACTGCGATTATAATATAAACATTTCAAAAAGTTTAAAATACGTCGAAAGTAATTCAGCGTTGTCGCAGTGAAAAAAAAAGAAAATTTAAAATAAGCAACAACACGGGTTACGTATTATATTAAACAAACCATCTTAAAAAATGTAATGACTGACTTTACAATAAAAACCTAAAATCTAATTTCAACAACTAACAATCTACAATAATATATGTTAATCCTATGATTATATACACGCCTAAAAAAATATATAAAGTGCACGAAAGCCAAAAAATATCTACTATATATGGTAGATACGCTCGTCGCTACACACTCACACATTGACCGCTTTCAAACAATGTCATATTAGAGCCGCGCACACATTGCGCGTAACATGAGCCGTTTTCTTTGCTTGGTTTATTTGTATTGCTCTATGTACAGTATCAAGCCATTAATAAGTCGTATCGTGCTTTAGAGAGAGATACTCGGCTAGCTTCGGCTTTGTAGAGCGTCATCTCTGTCACACGAAACACTAACAGTCCGATATCTATTCATCATCATCATCATCATCATCAGCCTATTAATGTCCCCACTGCTGGGGCACAGGCCTTCCCTATGGATGGAATAGGGAGATTGGGCCATGACCCACCACGCGGGCCCAGTGCGGATTGGTGGGTGCTAACGACTACAGATGCAGCCGGGACCAACGGCTTAACGTGCCTTCCGAAGCACGGAGGGGCTCGAGATAGTAAATGTTTGGTCACCCATCCAATGACCGACCACTGCGAAAGTTGCTTAACTTCAACGATCGCAGCCGAACGCGCTAACCACTTGCGCCATCGAGCTCCTCTATCGATACCGATATCTATTAAGAGCCCATAAAACTGTTTTTAAGTTTTTTTTTAGAAATCAATACAAAAAGAGAACATGTAGGTAAAAGACAACATATATGTAAGTACTATGTATGTTAATTTATTTATTTAAATGAAAAACTATATTTTATTTCCAACCAAATAACAAAAAACTAATAGATATGCGAAGCCTCTCATAAAATAATTACTGCCATCATCATCCTTAATTTCTTCCTTTCTTTAACGAAATATTTATATTTGTTTGGCAACTTTGTATATATATTTTAAGAAGAACGCGACTGCTCTTTAGCGACGTTGAACTACGACTGACAAGTCCGCGACTAAAGGTCAGGTTGACAAGGGTGACAGAGACGGCGCTATACGAAGCCGAAGTTAGCCGAGTATCTCTTTCTAAAGCTCGACGCCATTTATAAATGGCCGGGTACGGTAGGCTTGTATATAATCAAAGAATATACCAATTTCAATAAACATGACGAACACGGAATATCGTGCGGTTTAAAGCTGCCTAAATATGATACATTTATTAACACATTAGCTCAAATGGAATTCAATCGATTGAGCAAACGTACACATTTGTATAAAGCCCCACAGTTTGGGCCTTCTATTTTACAAGCTTTTATTTAACTTGCAATGTATGTTTGTTCGGGTGAAATCTTACAACTCACTTTTAAGGCACTTGCCCTCAACCGATTGAGCTGTTTGGTATGCACGTTCAGTTTGGATGACAATGCATGATTAACAGTGTGACGTCATTCTAAATCCAACATGGCGGCATACCCAAAATGGCTGACCAATCATTTTTAATGCATTCCTACAATATGGGTATCAAATTAAAGGGCTTGCTGAGAGTAACTCGAAAAAAATGTGACGTCCCTTTTTTTCTTTTTAGCGCATTTAAATAAAAGCTTGTTTTTAAAAAGGTTTTTTTACCTTAACTTTATTATTACTAGACTGGCAACATTGTTAGTATTGAACTGTTACAGTCATACCAATTTCCTTTTTTTTCTGACAAATATGTTACCATTAAACGTATGAGAGAAATCTTAAAATAGTTTACAAAAGTAGGTAATCATTTTATGCGTGATGAATAGAATAATCTACTATATGTTTTTCTCTCTCATGTTATGTTGCTTTCGTATTTATGCAAACATTTAAAATGGTTATCGCATTAAAAACAAACATGTTTCAATATTAATGTCCTACTTTAGCCATTTTAATATTAAGGCACTTCTACAAGTACAACTAGTACTTACTTAGCTCAAACAAAACAGGAGATCAAGTGACCATTTATTGGGTTCCGTATCCAAAGTGTCACTAACTACGGAACTCTATTAATAAGCCTTTTAGTAGGGCTGTTTCTCATTTCATAGGAAAATAAGATAAGTTTTTAAAACACTGTTGTTTGACAAGTTTTTGAAGTGAAAACTTCTTTAGCGGCGTTGTACACTTTTTTTTGTATGGGTAAAAAATGTTAAACTCGCGTCAGGTTAAACACGTGGGCTGATCGCATCATGACACACAATAAAACTGGAAACGTTGTTGACTTTCACAATATTGGACGAAACATAGTAATATTTTATTTTATCGTATTATAATAATAAGTCTAACTAGGACGTCCAGGTGGCAGCTTTATTGCGAAGAAAATGCATTTTTTTACAATAGATGTCGCTAGGTGCGCTTAAACAAGATTCATGTAAGTTGATTTTTCTGAGAGATAATATTTTTTAATGTAATATAAATTGTCATGTTTGTGTACGATAGCGCAATAAATAAATGTTGTATTCACATACACGATAGTACTTTTATACTGATAATTAAAGCAATTAGTGCAAAAATATGCCGTAACCATTCCAAAATGTCAAAAATGCACAACATTAATATTCAAGTTTTCACTTCTGCCGGCACTCCCGGAGTGCAACCTGTCCTTTTTTTATGATACATACAGTTCTTATTTGATTTTCCTAATTACATTTACAGTTCGGAGACAAATTATGCGCTAAAGTAAAATATGATTCAGAGGTATGTAAGTACGAAACTACTAGTCTAAAGCCATATAGAGTTAATACTTAATAATAGTGATGTTAGAGTTTATTAGAAAATCGAAAAAGATTATGTACTTATTTGGAAAGTTTTACAATAAAATATAATAATACACCGAGGAAATTGCAATCCTATGAAAATAGTTTTAAAGTCTACTTTAAAGCAATCGTCTATTTGATTGATAATATAAATACTCACAGACTTGTATAAAATAACTTTTAAATAGATATGAATGTGTTGATTGCTGTTTTATTGTGATTTTAGGTGTAAGATAGAATAAATTGTTTTGGTAAAAAATAGGTTTTGGTATAAGAAAATAGGAGCCATCATCTTGATATAAGTATCATTTTTCTTACACATAAATGAGTCCCGTAGATCTATTCCTGTGAATAAAGTATTTTCTTTTTAAATAAAATTTCGTAGATCTTATATTGAAATCAATTCAGTGAGTACAAATATAAATAATAAAAATACACCGAGGAAATTGCAAACCTACGACAATAATTTTAAAGTCTACTTTAAAGCAATCGTCAATCGTCTGTTTTATTGATAATATAAAAAACCTACAGACTTGCATAAAAATAAGACTTGGGACTGGTAATAATTAAAGAACTATAGAAACTTTGTTTATCATCATCAGCCTATTAATGTCCCCACTGCTGCGGCATAGGCCTTCCCTATGGATGGAATAGGGAATTTGGGTCATGACCTGCTAACGACTGCTGATGCAGCCGGGACCAACGGCTTCACATGGCTTCCGAAGCACGGTGGAAATCGAGATAGAAGATTTTTGGTCACCCATCACTGCGAAGGTTGCCCAACTTCAACGATCGCAGCCTAACGCGCACTACCAAACTCCTCTGACAAAGGAGATTGCTCAGCTTCCATACATGTTTGGCCTAAAGACCAATAATCATGAAAAATTGTTTCCTAGATTCGAAATTATATATAAATTACTGTAGAAACAAATATTATTGACGGACACCCCTGAGAAATTCTATAAACCGAATACACTGAACGATTTTGAGGTTATGTTTGCAAATAGGTACATAGGTATTGAAATAATAAAAAACAAATAAGTTATATAGTAAAGTAGGGAAATCAAGCTAAGTACCGAAATTATGTATTTGATTCAGGTATATAGAGCATTTAGATTAACAGATAGTTGCCTGTTTTTAAAGTTAATGCACAGAGTAACTTTTAAAATCAGGTATCATCTATGCATTTCCGGTTATATTAAGGAAAGTACTCTGTGACAGAAGCTGTGTGATGATTGTGAATGAGTCACAGATTAGAGAGATTTTTTAAACTTTCGATAACCAAAGAAAGCTAGGAGATTTAGGTTATATAGCCATATATACAGTAGCTTCATTATTTTTGTTATGTTTATATTATAACAATATTTTAGATTTTTAGTGTATCACACCTTATAATGTACTTGAGGTGTTTCGCGAAAAATGTATGGCAATAGACTTTATGATGTTGCCTACCATCTATAATAATTGTCTTAGCACATTTGCATGTAGTGAAAATGATAATATAGTTGTGGATATTAATACCACAGTGTAATAAAAAAAATGTTTTTATTTTATCGATCTTTACAAAATAGATTTGATTTTATGTTATATAAACAAATTCGATCAGTCTTTGGCTGAATGTTACTACACCCATAGCCATTAAAAATGATTCGTATGTTTTCCAAACAGGTAAAATTAAAAGTTCTTTTTAAAATGAATATATTACACAAAGGTGTCCGTTAAAATCTAATGACTGTAAAATAAAGTATAAATTATCTTATATATTAAATAAAATCATAAGTATAAATTATGCCAAGAATTATCGTATATGTCAATATTTTTTGTGCATTTGGGCCAATTTGAGCAATCTCCTTTGTTAAAGATAAAAAAATATATAGTATACCTGTCATTGCGCCGTATCGTTGTATACGGGCCGGCCCGCCAGCTGCAGCAGGTCCCGGTCCCGGTCCCGGTCCCCGTGTATATATACAGTATACCTGTCATTGCGCCGTATCGTTGTATACGGGCCGGCCCGCCAGCTGCAGCAGGTCCCGGTCCCGGTCCCGGTCCCCGTGTATATATACAGTATACCTGTCATTGCGCCGTATCGTTGTATACGGGCCGGCCCGCCAGCTGCAGCAGGTCCCGGTCCCGGTCCCGGTCCCCGTGTATATATACAGTATACCTGTCATTGCGCCGTATCGTTGTATACGGGGCCGGCCCGCCAGCTGCAGCAGGTCCCGGTCCCGGTCCCGGTCCCCGTGTATATATACAGTATACCTGTCATTGCGCCGTATCGTTGTATAGCGGGCCGGCCCGCCAGCTGCAGCAGGTCCCGGTCCCGGTCCCGGTCCCCGTGTATATATACAGTATACCTGTCATTGCGCCGTATCGTTGTATACGGGCCGGCCCGCCAGCTGCAGCAGGTCCCGGTCCCGGTCCCGGTCCCCGTGTATATATACAGTATACCTGTCATTGCGCCGTATCGTTGTATACGGGCCGGCCCGCCAGCTGCAGCAGGTCCCGGTCCCGGTCCCGGTCCCCGTGTATATATACAGTATACCTGTCATTGCGCCGTATCGTTGTATACGGGCCGGCCCGCCAGCTGCAGCAGGTCCCGGTCCCGGTCCCGGTCCCCGTGTATATATACAGTATACCTGTCATTGCGCCGTATCGTTGTATACGGGCCGGCCCGCCAGCTGCAGCAGGTCCCGGTCCCGGTCCCGGTCCCCGTGTATATATACAGTATACCTGTCATTGCGCCGTATCGTTGTATACGGGCCGGCCCGCCAGCTGCAGCAGGTCCCGGTCCCGGTCCCGGTCCCCGTGTATATATACAGTATACCTGTCATTGCGCCGTATCGTTGTATACGGGCCGGCCCGCCAGCTGCAGCAGGTCCCGGTCCCGGTCCCGGTCCCCGTGTATATATACAGTATACCTGTCATTGCGCCGTATCGTTGTATACGGGCCGGCCCGCCAGCTGCAGCAGGTCCCGGTCCCGGTCCCGGTCCCCGTGTATATATACAGTATACCTGTCATTGCGCCGTATCGTTGTATACGGGCCGGCCCGCCAGCTGCAGCAGGTCCCGGTCCCGGTCCCGGTCCCCGTGTATATATACAGTATACCTGTCATTGCGCCGTATCGTTGTATACGGGCCGGCCCGCCAGCTGCAGCAGGTCCCGGTCCCGGTCCCGGTCCCCGTGTATATATACAGTATACCTGTCATTGCGCCGTATCGTTGTATACGGGCCGGCCCGCCAGCTGCAGCAGGTCCCGGTCCCGGTCCCGGTCCCCGTGTATATATACAGTATACCTGTCATTGCGCCGTATCGTTGTATACGGGCCGGCCCGCCAGCTGCAGCAGGTCCCGGTCCCGGTCCCGGTCCCCGTGTATATATACAGTATACCTGTCATTGCGCCGTATCGTTGTATACGGGCCGGCCCGCCAGCTGCAGGCAGGTCCCGGTCCCGGTCCCGGTCCCCGTGTATATATACAGTATACCTGTCATTGCGCCGTATCGTTGTATACGGGCCGGCCCGCCAGCTGCAGCAGGTCCCGGTCCCGGTCCCGGTCCCCGTGTATATATACAGTATACCTGTCATTGCGCCGTATCGTTGTATACGGGCCGGCCCGCCAGCTGCAGCAGGTCCCGGTCCGGTCCCGGTCCCCGTGTATATATACAGTATACCTGTCATTGCGCCGTATCGTTGTATACGGGCCGGCCCGCCAGCTGCAGCAGGTCCCGGTCCCGGTCCCGGTCCCCGTGTATATATACAGTATACCTGTCATTGCGCCGTATCGTTGTATACGGGCCGGCCCGCCAGCTGCAGCAGGTCCCGGTCCCGGTCCCGGTCCCCGTGTATATATACAGTATACCTGTCATTGCGCCGTATCGTTGTATACGGGCCGGCCCGCCAGCTGCAGCAGGTCCCGGTCCCGGTCCCGGTCCCCGTGTATATATACAGTATACCTGTCATTGCGCCGTATCGTTGTATACGGGCCGGCCCGCCAGCTGCAGCAGGTCCCGGTCCCGGTCCCGGTCCCCGTGTATATATACAGTATACCTGTCATTGCGCCGTATCGTTGTATACGGGCCGGCCCGCCAGCTGCAGCAGGTCCCGGTCCCGGTCCCGGTCCCCGTGTATATATACAGTATACCTGTCATTGCGCCGTATCGTTGTATACGGGCCGGCCCGCCAGCTGCAGCAGGTCCCGGTCCCGGTCCCGGTCCCCGTGTATATATACAGTATACCTGTCATTGCGCCGTATCGTTGTATACGGGCCGGCCCGCCAGCTGCAGCAGGTCCCGGTCCCGGTCCCGGTCCCCGTGTATATATACAGTATACCTGTCATTGCGCCGTATCGTTGTATACGGGCCGGCCCGCCAGCTGCAGCAGGTCCCGGTCCCGGTCCCGGTCCCCGTGTATATATACAGTATACCTGTCATTGCGCCGTATCGTTGTATACGGGCCGGCCCGCCAGCTGCAGCAGGTCCCGGTCCCGGTCCCGGTCCCCGTGTATATATACAGTATACCTGTCATTGCGCCGTATCGTTGTATACGGGCCGGCCCGCCAGCTGCAGCAGGTCCCGGTCCCGGTCCCGGTCCCCGTGTATATATACAGTATACCTGTCATTGCGCCGTATCGTTGTATACGGGCCGGCCCGCCAGCTGCAGCAGGTCCCGGTCCCGGTCCCGGTCCCCGTGTATATATACAGTATACCTGTCATTGCGCCGTATCGTTGTATACGGGCCGGCCCGCCAGCTGCAGCAGGTCCCGGTCCCGGTCCCGGTCCCCGTGTATATATACAGTATACCTGTCATTGCGCCGTATCGTTGTATACGGGCCGGCCCGCCAGCTGCAGCAGGTCCCGGTCCCGGTCCCGGTCCCCGTGTATATATACAGTATACCTGTCATTGCGCCGTATCGTTGTATACGGGCCGGCCCGCCAGCTGCAGCAGGTCCCGGTCCCGGTCCCCGTGTATATATACAGTATACCTGTCATTGCGCCGTATCGTTGTATACGGGCCGGCCCGCCAGCTGCAGCAGGTCCCGGTCCCGGTCCCGGTCCCCGTGTATATATACAGTATACCTGTCATTGCGCCGTATCGTTGTATACGGGCCGGCCCGCCAGCTGCAGCAGGTCCCGGTCCCGGTCCCGGTCCCCGTGTATATATACAGTATACCTGTCATTGCGCCGTATCGTTGTATACGGGCCGGCCCGCCAGCTGCAGCAGGTCCCGGTCCCGGTCCCGGTCCCCGTGTATATATACAGTATACCTGTCATTGCGCCGTATCGTTGTATACGGGCCGGCCCGCCAGCTGCAGCAGGTCCCGGTCCCGGTCCCGGTCCCCGTGTATATATATAGTATACCTGTCATTGCGCCGTATCGTTGTATACGGGCCGGCCCGCCAGCTGCAGCAGGTCCCGGTCCCGGTCCCGGTCCCCGTGTATATATATAGTATACCTGTCATTGCGCCGTATCGTTGTATACGGGCCGGCCCGCCAGCTGCAGCAGGTCCCGGTCCCGGTCCCGGTCCCCGTGTATATATACAGTATACCTGTCATTGCGCCGTATCGTTGTATACGGGCCGGCCCGCCAGCTGCAGCAGGTCCCGGTCCCGGTCCCCGTGTATATATATAGTATACCTGTCATTGCGCCGTATCGTTGTATACGGGCCGGCCCGCCAGCTGCAGCAGGTCCCGGTCCCGGTCCCGGTCCCCGTGTATATATACAGTATACCTGTCATTGCGCCGTATCGTTGTATACGGGCCGGCCCGCCAGCTGCAGCAGGTCCCGGTCCCGGTCCCGGTCCCCGTGTATATATATAGTATACCTGTCATTGCGCCGTATCGTTGTATACGGGCCGGCCCGCCAGCTGCAGCAGGTCCCGGTCCCGGTCCCGGTCCCCGTGTATATATACAGTATACCTGTCATTGCGCCGTATCGTTGTATACGGGCCGGCCCGCCAGCTGCAGCAGGTCCCGGTCCCGGTCCCGGTCCCCGTGTATATATACAGTATACCTGTCATTGCGCCGTATCGTTGTATACGGGCCGGCCCGCCAGCTGCAGCAGGTACCGGTCCGGGTGTTCTAACCAATCCGCCGCTGACAGCTTCACCTTTAACAATATTATGTTTATTTGTTACTTGTACTTATTTTTTTAGATTTAAACATCGAACAGTTACATGCTTATAACATAAAAAATATAACTATAATTGCTATTTCCTCTTTCAAATGTTCAATCATGTAAAGGTAATCATTTGACATTGTGAGTTATTTACAATGAGAAGAGATGGCGCTGCCTTGCAGCAAGACCCCTTTTTCCTAGTGGGTACGTTCGGCAAGTGCCCAGGACCCCCCTCAGATCAAAACAAAGTTAAACTACGAAACTACGTGACCGTTTCCACTGATGCTAAGCTATGTAGCGAGTAAGATGTGCTGTGAAGATGAGCCGCCGTAAAGTAGCTGCGCAAGGAAGATGAAATGCTGTTGGAGTTAACAGAGGAATAACGATTAATCTTCCGCCATGAGTTATTCTTCGCAGATTGCGAGATACAAAATAACTTTTTGGTTCCACGATAGCATGTCTTTCAGTAACAAACGCGGGCACTCTGCTCTTGATATAGATACTAGACTTGCAACGATTAGTATATTCGGCAGTATACCGAATATTCGGCAAGGCCCCTGACCGAATAACCGAATATTAGGCAAAGTATTCGGCTGGATTTTAGCGCCAAAAACTTGTACAGACGTGATTGTTGCGCGCTCCTCTGTTTTGTTCTAATCTGCCGTCCTAAAGCTAAAATGCGGCTAAATGACAAAACCAACTTTGAGATATGGCTAAAAACGGCGCGTAAACTTTAAATTATTGCTTATATAATTATTAATGAATTAAAAACTGTTAACTTGTTTAATACAGAAAATGATTAAATTATGTACCTTTTTTATGTACCAATGACTACTTAATAAATGATTATAAAAGAAATGAGAACCTTACCCTTCTAAATTTTGATTACCACTATAATTCAAATACATCCATTTTTCCAATTCAGAAGATGATAATGTACTTGTGTTATGTATCAATGACTACTTAAATGATTATATAACAGAAATAAAAATATGAACATATACGTAATCAATCGATTTTAATTTTTCATTTTACCAATTATTTCTCTATGACTAAATATATTATTTAAGTATTCGGTATTCGGCCGAATAATATGTAGATATTCGGTATACGGCCGAATATAATAAAAGCAGCCGAATAGACCGAATACCTAATAGTAACCGAATATTCGTTGCAAGTCTAATAGCTACACCTCTCTCGGCCATCATACCCCACATCTATAGCACGCATACTTCCATATAAAAAACATAGCTAAGTTGAACCCGTTTCCATCAGTGCTATCCTATGTGGACCAATGAATTTGATTGGTGGATATCAAAAAATAACAGCAGCGTCACAACGGACGTAGCTAATGAGAACTAAACGCTGAATTTATATATTTCAGCTATATAGCCGTATCTCAATCCAGAGCTGAATGTACACTCGAAATATATCCATATATTATATATATATACCTTTCACGGTAAATGTTGATCCAGTACTGATTTAGAACAAATGTTGATCCAGTACTGATTTAGAACAAATGTTGATCCACCTATTTCGTGTGTACATTCAGCTCTGGATTCAGATACGGCTGTATAGATCGAATATATTAATTCAGCGTCTGACGTCAGTGGATGTGCTCTTACCCGTTTTCAATTTACTCGTCATACAATTTTAAGGTTTTTGTTGATCCAATAACGGTCAAAAAAATGATATGCAAGCGCAAAATGTGGCTCCGATTTATATCCGACTTTTAGTGGTAAATGTGGCTCCATAGTTGAATATGAAGAGTACGGCAACGTCGCGCTATTGGGCAAATGAAGCAAGCATACGTTCCATTAAAAGTGAATGTGAGACAACATTCTGTCGAGTATTTCTGCATTTTGAATTGTAGAGATGTGTTTTACACGAGTCCAGCATAAGCACTTCTAATAGATTTCTACTTTTTTGGTAAATTTGAGGCAAAGAGAACGATGGTATATCATATGGCCTTTTCTTGTGGGGCTCAGCTGCCAATATCGAAAATATTTTCATACTGCAAAAGAGAGCTAGCTGTTCGTGCCATATACAACTTAAAAGCAAGAGAATCTCTTAGGGAAAATTTTAATCAAATTAATATTTTAACACTGGCATCGCAACACATTTATAAAAATATGTATAATATACTAGCTGTGCCCCGCGGCATTACCCGCGGTTTATTAGGGATTTTTTCCGCAGTAAAACGTAGCCTATGTGGTAATCCAGGGTGTCAGCTAACTCCATACCAAATTTTATTAAAATCGCTCCAGGCGTTTATACGTGAAGAAGTTACAAACATACACACACACAAACTTTCGCCTTTATAATATTAGTGTAGGTAATGTAAGAGCCCCCCCCCCCCCCCCCCGGGGGGGAGGCAGGGAAGCACCGAGTCAGGTCGGGTGGTGGAGGGCCGGGCGGAGGGGCGGAGGGGCGGAGGCGCCCCCCGGGGCAGGACACTAAACCTCCACTCGGTCATACACAGGGATCAAGACAACTTAGGATGTGCCACCTTCTCCTTCGTTCGCTCCAACGACGCAGGTCAGCTCTAGCGTCCACCTCGTGAGCCCTCTCCGCTGCCTCCTTTTGCGAGATGACGATCTCACAGATTGCTTTGTGAAACGTCAAGTAATGACAGTGACAGCTGTCATCACTTGGGAGTGGTCCATGCTATACTATGAGAGTGTGTTTAAGGGGCTATGCTTCATTGGAAGGGGTATTCAGCATTCAGGACGTTAGCACAGAACTCTCCACGCTTCGCAAAGCAATCCGTTTGTACCTTTGCAATCATTGCTGATTTTGTGAAGTGATTAGAAGATTCAAATTAAACGTTAGCTTGGTCACTAGACTACAGTTTTATTTTCGGGAAATATCTTTATAACCAAGATGGCGGATCGAGACGAACCACGTGGACTACCGCCTATCCCGCTCGCCCATCCGACATATCTCTTATCTATTAGACAAGTCCGTCCGTCCGTGGTGCTGTTTCAGCGGCCAAACCGTAAGAGATAGATAAAGAGAATGTTTAAGTTATAAGTTAAGAATAGTCTGATAAGACTACAAACCGGATTTGAGTAACGTAGCACTTCCGGTTTTCGAGAAATCACGTGATTTCTATTTCAAACGAAACCACACAAAATCTTCGAAGTTCTCAATTAATTAAATACATTTTTTTTTTGGTGAACATTTGGTTCACTGGTTTGCTAGTATTATATATTGTCGAGGGTGACGCTCGTAGCGTTTCAGCCTTCGCCGAGTAACCTTCCAATTTTCATGCTTGTCGGGAAGAGCTGCGCACGTATCCCACACACGCACATATACAGTGTAAAAAAACGAAATCGAAGGCCACGTATTTTCCACATCATGACGATCATTTTTTTCTTTTGGACCATACCTGGGAAATTTATGGTTCTGGAGATATTAAAGGTCAAAGTCACAATTTGTTTTTTAAGATTTTTACAAAATCGTTGTTTAGATACTTTTTTATCGACGCACTTACACACACGCACATACATACACACAGGTACATTGTTTGCGTAGCGCCACAGTAGCGCGCTGCACGGCGTATTGGAAAAAAATATGATTTTTTTAACTTAAAAATACAAATGTTTCCCACGTATAATATTTTGTAATAATACTTGTATGGGTGTACAGAATGCGTAGTTTTAGTCTTTGTCATAGGTTTTTTTACACCCTGTATATAGTCGTGTGACGCTCGTGACGCATTTGCGTTTCATTTTTGCCATAGGATTTTTCCATTTAAACAAAATCTGAAAAGAAAGGGGACCCGGCGCTTTTCATAGAAAAAATGCTAAACTTGTATACAGTTGAATTTGATCTCAAAATAAAGCCAAAATTATTTGCTACATAAAACTACTTTTGCCTTGTTTTTAGTGAATCGTGGAAAGAAGTTATTTAATGATTAATATTTTTTAATATAGAAACCCTTTTGATGACAAACCTACGTATTTGATATTGACAGCTAGCTGCTGATGACAAATATTGCCAGACTACGTTACTCAATTATGAAACATATATAAAAATTTTAAAAAAGTATACAACTTTGGCACAAAATGCCGGGTGTCCTTTGACTTCAAAAAATATATTTATTATGAAGGGTTATCTTACTTGTCTTTGTCGCTCGGCCTCCTTCACCTGCCACTTCTTGATGTCCAGCTGGATCTCCCGCGACGCCTGGTCTCCGCAGCCCCATACCTAAATAAATAAAAAAATCCAACACACAGCAATTAGCCTAGCCCCAAAGTTAGCACTGTAAGGCTTGTGTTATAGGATATTAGGGTAACGGATACAATACATAATACCGAAACATATATAAGTATAATTTTTATTTTTTTAAAGCACGTAACTGCTTGATGTTTAAATCTAAAGAAAATGTAACTAGAAAAAGTTCCACGCGGACCAGGCAGCAGACGGGACTCGAACCCGCACCCTTCGCAATCCGGGCGAATGCACTGACCAATTATGCTACCGCGGCCCTCACGGACCGCGTCGAAATTCTTCTAGCCATTCTTCATTCATTCATATATAAGTATATTTATATAGAAATACATATTAAACATCCATGACTGGAGTACAAATGCTCGTATTCATCACACAAACATCTGCCCCCACCGGGATTCGAACCCGGGAGCTCTCGAGTCGGCGACACCTTGAAACCCGGCGTACAAACCACTCGGCTACGGAGGTTGTTAATCCGTGGCCGAGTGGTATATATATAAACATAAATGAAGGTCAGTACTATTTTAATAAATCATTTTAAAGAAAAAAAGATTTTCTTTGTAAAATTTTATTTAAAACTATAATATACATAGTTAACCGAAATATATTAATAGACCAGGGTCGATAATTTTAAAAATGGTGAAAAGTGAAAAAAAATTATAGTAGGATGAAACCCATTAGAAAAGGTAGAGAATATAACAAAAATGAAAGGAAAAATAAATTACGGGCGATCTGAGGTCGGGAAGGGGGAGGGGGTGAGTTTTTAAGGGTAAAAAATGGTTAATCTCGATTTCCGGTTAAACTGCAAGTCCTATGAAAAAAAGTTAAATGGCAAAGTTGTAGGTAATAAAAAGATCTACAACTTTTGTATCGACACTTTTTTCACATAACCTCAAAATTTATGTGAAAAATGTGAATAACCGAATTTTTGGTTTTTGATTTTTATTTTTTGCAAAAAAAAATATTTTTTCACGAAATTTGGTGAAAACTTACCTTTGTATGTCCCAAATATACAGTATTTTTTTTGATTTAAAATATTCATTTTTTCACCTTATTTTGACTTAATATCCAAAAAGCACCCTAATTTTCAATCGAAAATTCTCACGTCAAAATATCTGCTTTTTTTAAAAAGTTGGGGTGTTTTTTGTTTGTTGAAATCTCTACTTTCTGATGGTATAAAAAATATATACACTACGATGATAAATGTTCTCAGAAAATGCAAATTAACAATGAATAAACTCGAATCCGAAAATCCTATTTTAATACCTACTTACAACAACTATTTTTGCATATTTTATGGATTTGTAATTTTTCTGTTTATCAATATAACATGAAATCTTACGTTTTTCGAGTTAAAGTGTAGATTTTAATAAATAGTTCAGAATTATACATAATGATTCAAATCAATTTTTCGGATTGGAGTTTTTTTCATTATTAATTTGCAGTTTCTGAGAACATTTACAATAGTAGTGTATATTTTTTTTATACCATCAGAAAGTAGAGATTTCAACAAACAAAAAACAAGCCAATTTTTTTAAAAAAGCAGATATTTTGACGTGAGAATTTTCGATTGAAAATAAGGGTGCTTTTTCGATATTAAGTCAAAATAAGGTGAAAAAATGAATATTTTAAATCAAAAAAATTACTGTATGTTTGGGACATACAAAGGTAAGTTTTCACCAAATTTCGTGAAAAAATATTTTTTTTGCAAAAAATAAAAATCAAAAACCAAAAACTCGGTTATTCGCATTTTTCACATAAATTTTGAGGATATGTGAAAAAAGTGTCGATACAAAAGTTGTAGATCTTTTTATTACCTACAACTTTGCCATTTAACTTTTTTTCATAGGACTTGCATTTTTACCGGAAATCGAGATTAACCATTTTTTACCCTTAAAAACTCACCTCCTCCCCCTTCCCGACCTCAGATCGCCCGTAATTTATTTTTCCTTTCATTTTTGTTATATTCTCTACCTTTTCTAATGGGTTTCAACCTACTACAATTTTTTTTGGTCTCAAAAATTATCGACCCTGGTCTATAATGGGTGCCTATCATGTCAGAAATCAGAAATCAATATATCTTTATTTAAATTGGATGTATAGTACAACTCTTGAATTGTCCAAATAAATGTTTCCCTACCACTCGTTATTGGACATATTTTTTAGCTGCGGAGAAAAACGAGCGAATAAACTCCACAACATTAAAAGTATAATGTAATACCATTTACAAATCATCATGTTATTACAGCGTCAATACAATCATGATTTATTTAATATAGAAAACCTGTTGGAATGATTGGAACAGTTCAAACCCAAACATTTTTGTCTGTAATATAATCAGACACTTTATAATAAGCTTTTTTAATAAGTGCTTTTTTATCTTTGAATTTATTTATGGTTAACTCTTGGATATTGCTTGGGACTTTATTGTATAAGCGAACACAAAGACCTTTAAATGAATTATTAATTTTGTGAAGCCTAGTAGCAGGTAAAGTTAGTTTATTTTTGTTTCTTGTATTAAGTGTGTGAACATCTTCTTGTGATTATTTTTATTTAATTTTGATTATTCTAGATGTTTCAGATTATTTACCGACTCCATGGTCGCAAGACTAAACTATCTGACTACTAAAGAACATATTAGGAAGCAAATCACAGTAATATTTCCTACTAATTTACAACCTTAGAACAAGAACTAAAGCATTGAGTTTAAACTCAACTCATACTGTTATCTTATTTTTACGTATGGAAGAAAGGGACACATATATGTTGCTATGAACCATACTATGAACAGCGTGCGTACCGCTATACAAACGTCAAATCGGATACCTTGATTACCTTTACGATACCGAATCAAAAAACAATCTTATGTTAAATACAACCTGCCAACACGCCCCTAATATTTTTTGGTCGGGTAATACTTTGATGGAACTTTTTAATTTTTTGTCTATGGGTGATTACGCTCAAACATCATAGCATTACTTCTATGCTTTAGCTCTTGTTCTGAGTTTTTAACCGACGTAAAAAACGGAGGAGGTGCTCGAGTCGACGCGTATATAATGCGATTCAAATAAGAATAGGAAAGCCAATGACCTCTATCTGTCAAATGTCGCTTGAAAAGTACGGTTTGCAAAAAAAAACTTGGTACCCTTTTTTAGCACTCCGCTAATTCAAGAATAAAAACCAAACATTTGTTAACAAACAATAACAAATATTGATAATTAATATCGGTTAATATTTTTTTGTTCACTTATTGAGCTTTGGCCATGAATGGTTGATAACCTAAATCGTCAACCAAATGTCACTTTGTTGCGTTCAGAAACTCGATTTCAAACTTTCTATTACTTAAAGGATGCATGTTCGTATGTGACCTAGTAATAGTGCAAGATTATTCATAACTACTCCGGCGGTAATGCAGAAATGAGCGAAATAGAAGAGCTAGATTCTGATTAATGTTTTTTCTCACAGTCTTTATAAATAAATATCATTAAAAATCGGTAGTTTTTTTCTCAATATGAGTATTTAAATAAATCTCACTTAACCTTAGTAAATAAGTTTTATTAAATAAAAACTTTTTTTTGCTCACTCTACCTATTTAGTTTGAATTGACAGCTATGACATCATAATATGGCGCCCAGTCGGTACTATTCTTAGTTGAATCGCATCATATTTGTTTTTTATATATGTATGATGATCACGCATAACTTTTTATTCGATTTTGATAATTCTTTTTTTATTGAAAAGGGTATACCCCAATGTTGGTCCCATATGATTTTATAAATAAAAATCCAACCCTAAGGGTATGAAAACAGGGGACGATTAACTAATATATTTTTTACATAGTAGTCTGATTTTGATAATTCTTTCTTTATGGGAAAGGGTATACTATACCCCGAAATTGGTCACATATGAATTTTAAAAGAAACATTTCTTGGGATGATTGATTGTTCATTCACAGATTTTGATGCCGAGTTACAACTCGAATCTCTTATTACAAAAATTATAGCTACAAAAAATTGTAAAATAAAATCATTTCAACTAGACTTGCAACGAATATTCGGTATTCGGCCTATTCGGCTGCTTTTATTATATTCGGCCGAATACCGAATATCTACATATTATTCAGCCGAATACAGAATACTTAATTAATCTATTTTGTCATAGAGAAATAAGTGGTAAAATGAACAATTGAAATCGATTGATTACGTATATATTCATATTTTTATTTCTGTTATATAATCATTTAAGTAGTGATTGGTACATAAAACAGGTACATAATTTATTTTCTGCATTAAACAAGTTAACAGTTTTTAATTCATTCAGTCATATGATGAATGGTTACATAATAGCAATAATTTCAAGTTTACGCGCCATTTTTGTCATATCTCAAAAGTTGGTTTTGTCATTTTAGCTTGAGGACGGCAGATTAGAAAAAAACAAAGGAGTGCAAAACAATCACGTCTGTACAAGTTTTTGACGTTAAAATCCGGCCGAATACTTTTGCCTAATATTCGGCTATTCGGTCAGGGGCCTCGCCGAATATACTATTCGTTGCAAGTCTAATTTTAACATAAAAAAAATGATGTAGTGTCGTGGGACACCAGGTAGGAACGAAGTTCCTTCGGCTAATGTAGAATAGACACAAATCGCAAACTCGCTTGCGTATGCGACCGTCGCGCCTGCGCACGTCTCACTTAACGGTTTTATTCCACGCATTTTTTCCACGGATTTTTTCTTACGGTTTTACTATCACATTTTTTTCAGTTCGGTCGCGCAGCAATATCCCTATCCCCACCAAGCCTGCCGTAAGGAACTTCGTTCCAAAAACCGCCAAAGTTTTTATAACACAGTTCAATTGAGTGAGTATATCACCTGTATGGCATTGAGCGTATACGGCGCCCCCTGGAAGGTGATGGTGTCGAAGTCCTCAGGCACGTCGAGGAGAGGCTTCCTGGGGTCGCTGCCCGCGCGCAGCCCCTTGGGGTATCCCCTTATCGACGTGTTCAGGTACAGCATGCGGGGGGCGCATTCTATTAGCGCGAACCTGGACAATCATATTCCCGGCTACATCATAAACATCGAAAAGCAATCAAATAGTCGACAATCTAGAATTACAAAGTGAAAGCTACCCGTTTTCGTTTTTGTAAAGAGATATACAAAATGGACCCTTGGGGTATGAAATGAAATGAAATAACCTTTATTGGCCATTTTACGCGATACAAATACTATAAATATAAACAAAAAATAAAAGGGAACTTAACATAAAAACAAAAAACAACAACATAAAACTAAGACGGCCGATTAGGAGCCTGTCTCAGCTTATGCTGACACGGTGGGAGAATATCTCTCACTGTATCAGCGCTGGTATTCTGGCAGGGCCTGTGCGAGGACGTGTTAAGCGCTAACAAGCAACAAAACAATACATTTATGCTTATCTAATAATATTTTATTGGGCATACATACACGCTGATATACATATATATATATAAATCATAAATCATAATCTTTATTTGCTAAAAACACGGTATATAGGTATTACTCAACGGTTTGAGCACGTGTTTTGCCATTTTAAAAATAGCATGCAAATACATAATATGGAACCAATAAAAAAAAAGAGATTAATTAATTATAACATTTTTCTGTAGAATTATGAATGTCAGAGTTACCTAATATTATGTCAATAAAATATACAATGTCAACATATTAATATTACAAGATTTCTAAATGTCAGATATAAAAAAAAATAAAAAATTAAAAAGATACATTTATCATAATTATTATAGGATAAATTAAAACATGTCATTAATTTTTATAATTGAAAAAACTTTTTAGGTCATAAAAATTGTTTTCATTTAACCATTTATATAATTTAATTTTAAACATGTTCATATTCAGTATTTTTATGTCGGGAGGGATTTTATTATAGATCTCGACACAAAGGCATAAGCAACTTTTCCTATATTTGTCAGACCTTGGGACCTCATTAAATATCATTCTGTAAGGGTCTCTAAGCCGGAAATTATTAACCCTCTTGAACAACTGCTTGTGCCCGTGGACAAACACTGCTAATTCATATATGTACAGCGATGGCAGCGGCAACAATCCAAGACTTTTAAATAATGGTCTACATGATTGGTCTGGCGGGATTCCACATATTGCCCTAATGCACTTCTTTTGTGCAATAAAGGCTCTATTCTTATCCGTGCTATTACCCCAGAGTATAATTCCGTACCGAAGGATAGATTCAATGTATGCACGATAACACATAACAGCGGTTTTTTTATTGGTTAGGTTTTTTATGCTTTTCAGAGCATACACAAATTTATTTATTTTATGACTTAACATATCTATATGGGTTTTCCAGTTTGTATCTTTGTCAATTTTTACACCTAGGAATTTTAAACTTTCTACTTCTTTGATTTTTGCTACGTCTAATGTAAACTTATATTTTTTATGTTTAGATTGATTAAATTGTATATAATAGGATTTATTAATATTAATTTTAAGATTATTTGCATTAAGCCATTTAATGATCATGTCAATAGTATTATTAATGTCAGATGAATGTGTTCGTAACGAGTCATTGTTTTTAATGTTATTTGATGTTACAATTATTGATATGTCATCGGCATATAAAACACATTTATGTCGAGTCACCTGTGTTATGTCATTGATGTATAATAGAAATAAAATTGGTCCTACAACGCTCCCTTGTGGAACGCCACACCGAATTTCCCTAAAACCAGATGAGAACGATTTCATTTCATTTTGTGTTACTTTGCTAAAAATAACTTTTTGGCGCCTACCGCTTAGATAGGATGCTAACCATGATAAGGTGGGTCCTCGGATACCGTAGGATTCTAGTTTTTTTAATAGTCTCGGGTGAGCAACACAATCGAAGGCCTTTGACAAGTCAAAAAATAACCCCGTTGTTAAATATCTATTATTTAGATTTGTCAATATTGTTGACATAAGATCAAACATTGCCAGCGATGTAGATTTTGCTTTTTGAAACCCATATTGCTCTTTTGTTATGATTTTGTATTTCAAACAAAAACTCATGAGCCGGTTTAGCATGCATTTTTCGAAGACTTTTGAAAGGATCGGTATTAACGTAATAGGACGATAGTTATCCGGATTCTCTCTGTCCCCTTTCTTATGTAATGGTTTGACTAAAGAGATTTTTAGTTTATCAGGAAACGTTCCTGATATAAACGATGTATTAACCAGGTGTGTAAGGACCTGTGTTAGTTCTGTAGTGCACATCTTTAATATCTTTGTACAAATATTATCATATCCTTCAGCGTTGGTATTATTTAAACACATGATTTCCTTTTTTACTTCTTCAATGGTCATTGGTTGTAAATACATTGAATTGGCTAGTGATGGCAATTTTTGGTTATCTTTAGTTAAGTTTATTGATGGCGATTCAGTCAAATTTATGAAGTATTCATTAAAAGCAGTAGCTATGTCATTTGGATATGTCAGTGTTTTATTATAAATTTTTAGATTAGTAATATTGTCATCAATTTTAGTATTATTAATTTCATTTTGGATTACTGACCATGTAGCCTTACATTTATTTTTGCTCTGATTTATGAATTTCATAGTAGTATTTTTTCGCGAATAATGTATGCATTTATTTAAAATATTAGTATATGATAAGTATTTGTTTTTGTTTTCTAATGTTTTGCTTTTGTAATATCCGAAGCGCAGGTGTCTTTTTGTTTTACAACTAATTTTAAGACCAGGGCTTATCCATTTTTGTTTTTTCCTTTTCACGTTATTGATTTTTTTTCTTATATTTGGAAAACATAAGTTGTAAAAAAGGCTCAATAAGTCATGAAAGATTCCGAAAGCTGTATTGAAGTCAGGTTCATTATAAACTTCGGACCACGATAGTTTAGTTAAACATTCCCTAAATTTTTCAATGTTGTCAATACAGTAATCTCGTTTGTAAACAAAATAAGATTTAGGTTTTATATGTATTTGTTTCATGGGAAAGCTGAGTAGTTGAGCTGTATCATGGTCTGATAAGCAAAGAGGTAAAACCACAGATGTTGCATTTTTTATATTACTAAAAATATGATCGATGCAAGATTCTTTCCGCGTGGGGGTGTTAATATGTAAAGTTAAGTTGTAGTTGTTACACAAATCTTTTAAATAATTGTTGACTTTGCCTGGTTGTAATGTGTTGATATTTATGTCACCTGCAACAACAATTTTTGTATTTTTTTTATAACGTCTACATATTTCGTGTAGAACCAGGTCTAATTTTGACATGAAGAGGTAAGGATCGGAAGCAGGTATTCTGTACAGGCATATTGTTATCAAATTTTGAAGTGGCATGAAAATACCACAAGCTTCAAAAGTTTTTTGAATTGCGTGTTCTTGTAGAATATTTAATTTTTCATAAGGCAATCCTCTTTTTACTAATATACAAGTCCCACCCCTTTGTTTATTCCTGCAGAACTCTGATGCAAGTTCGTAATCTGCGATTTTCAAGTATCTAAGAGAGTCAGGTTTTAAAAAAGTTTCAGAAAGACACATTATGTCGGGTTCATGATTTGTTTCATATAGTTCGTCTAATGCAAGTTCTAAAAGATTTTTCTTAGAGAGAATACTAGCTATATTTTGGTGCAAAATTTTAAATAAAGGCTCCTTCACTTCAGACTTTTGGGGAACGAAAAAACTGTCGGTTTTTAATTACGGGAAAGTAATCAGTGATTGTACCTTTTTTCTTAATATCAGTCTTTTCGGTAAAATCCCGCGTAGACAGGGTAGCAAAATAGTAAGGGATTGTTCCTTTTTTATTTTTTCTCGTAATATTATTGTGTGTCATTGGATTATTACCATGCTCGATTAACTTTTTTATTTGGTGTACATCAAGATACTTTTTCCTATAGTCAATAGTGTCGATAGCAAAATTAAGAGATTTACACATGTCGAAAATTGAATCATTGTCAGAAGTTACAAAATGAGACATCTCAAAGTCATTACAAATATTTTGAATACATTTGTTTATGGCATATACATTAAGATATCTATTATTAATTACATTTATTACAAAGATGTCATTATTCTTAAAATTAATTAATAATTGACGTAATTGATATTCCAGTATATTAATGTCATAATCATTTTCTCCAATACATACTATAAGTTTGTCGTTGGGTGATAAACATAGGTTCTGAGAGTCTTTTAGGATATCTGCTGTAAGTGCGTGGGGTTTTGTAAATGACATTATTGAATAGTCTTCGTATGCTGTATTTTCCCTCGATCGCGCTAAAGCAGATGCTAACCCAACGCACTGTTGTGATCCATATATAAATACCCTCTTTTTAATGCTTTTTTTTGGGACGGGCTCAGAAATGGTATCGACAAGTACAGAAGTGTTTGCATGTAGATGAGTCATCGTAATGTTGGCAGGGACTTGTTTATCGAGTGTATTGATATCTTGGAGCATTTTTTGAAGTTTAAATATTTGTTTGGTAAGAGACATAATTTGTTTTTCAGAGTCCTCTAACTTCTCTGTACGTTCTATCTATCATGTTTTTTAATTTACTTGTGTTTTCTTGTATGGTATATTACAATAAAGAATATTATTATTATTATTATTCTCTTGTAACTCGGTAATTTGCCTTTGATGGTATAAAATGCTACAATCAGTGTTCTCATTTAAACACTTATATTGCTTTGGTATGGGTGAACTATATGGCGAAGATATTATATTATAATGTGTAGATGGCTTATTTTTTTTCTTAGTACTTCGTAAAATACGAGATTCGCTAATCGGAGACTGACAAAGGGTTTTCAAAAAGCTATTTTCCTGAATAAGCTTAGAATTTTCTCTACGAATATTGTTATTTTCTAGAATATAGTTTTCTAATTCTTTTTGAGTGCTTTTTGAGTGCTCATATATATGTATATATATATACATTAAATACATACAATGACATAATCCTTAAATAAATAAATAAAGAAACGCAGCGCAGCACTCCGAACGCACCCGCACCGCATCCGATAATGGTGTCGACTCTGTCATGACTCTCCAAACCCAAGACCAAACCCAACACCAGTCCCTCCCTATCATTTTGTATAGCGAATGACAAGGATACACTGCCGTCAAATTCATATTCAGGCTCAGAGAATCACTTCAGAATCGACACCAATCAGGGTATTACAATATTACTTTTTGACCATTACACTAAAACAATAGGGACTCACTTGAATGATCCTTCCAGCCGTTTACAAAGATTTGAATTACAAATATACGAACGGACGAATTGAAAAATACTCTTAAAAAATTGCAGTACATTTATGTCGGCATTTTGATTCATCATGCCGATATTTTTCCACTCGCGCGTACTCTAAATAACGGAGTTTGGAGTACGCGCATAATCATAATTGTCTGTTATATATCAGCAAGTTATCAAAGTAAAGATTTTTATATGAATCCTAAAAATTCAAGTTCACATTTCAATTTATAGTTTATTCAGTGTAGGCTGTTACAAGCACTTGTGATTTACGCTATCGGTATCGGTTCGCAAACTTACTGCGGGAGATCTTGTAGTGAGAAGACCCGACTATAATCTCAGCAAGGGCTGGTTTTTCCGTATTACAGTCGTCAAATTTAAAAAACGACTTCAATATGAGATAATGGTGATGATGAAAGTGTCGTGTCTGATAAAAAAATAAATCAAAAAATAAAGACTCACGCAGGGAACAACTGTATGAGCGCCGTGTCAGCGGTGCCCCAGTACTGGTGCGTCTCCCGCCACTCCACCGGCGCGCACACCACTACGGTCACACCCGCCGCTTCCAATATCACTATGGTGGGACCGCTGTCAAACGGAATAAAACGAATGTGCGTCAAAATGGTCTTCTTTCTTTCTTTCAAATATAATTTTAGCATCGCTAAAAAGCATTAACGAAAAATGCTATATTGAAAGGTCGTCTCGGTTCTTTATGAATACAGAATAAAGTACGCTATCGATTTAGTAAATAAAGAGTTCAGCAAATAATCTCTAATTCTGTTGGCATAAGGAACCGACGGGACCTGACGGGATTACTTTCTTTCGTTGGCCAATCTGTAATTATAGATTACGAAAAGAAATGGCCCCAAAACAGACCCTCCGGGAACACCCATTCTGTGTAGCCAGGCTTTCTAATAGCGTAAATTTTAACGGTTTGTGTCTTAGCTGTTCGATCGAAATGTATTAATGTTTGTGATATTATGGTTTTATTTTTATGGGAATGACACAATTCCTTTAACTATATTTTATGTTCTAGGTTATCCAAAGCTTTCCCATAGCCATTATATGTTCTAAAAGTTTTAGTATATATTTAAAAATTAATAGTTTTATATTTTTCATTATTATTTGTAACGGATTAACTTTTTTAATCGGCATGTCACCTCTACATACGAATTCGTTATTATCATATTAAAATTGCGTAAGAATATGTATCAGAAAGCATTTATGAAAGCGGGCAAGGTGAGGATGGCTGGTGTGGTAGTTTACTACTGTTACACCAGCTATTTTTCACGTCTGGTCTTTACTACCTCTTAATATCAAGTGGACAAGAGTAGGGACACGAAAAAAGTATCGATACTTTGTGGTATCGAGTACTTTTCCTTTCGATACCGATACTTTTGTACTCGATACATGGTTTTCGATACATCAACTAAATGAGTACGTTTTGGCAAGTATCGCCCTTTAAAAAATTGGATAAGCGCCTTATATTGATGGCAACGCCATCTAGTGGAATCAAAGCAAACCTTCTAAAACATTCCATTGCGTTGATATAATTGGAAGCACATAAGGCCCTATGAAATGTACTCGATACTTCGAAGTATCGATACTTTTGTTTCAATACTTTTACGAGTACGATACTTATTTTCCGATACTACTCATGAGTACAGTATCGATACTTTCTATTCGATATCGTGTCCCTAGACAAGAGTCATTTTTGGATACTTGACAAATAATAACACAATAACAATTATATTAAAATAGCATTAGTTTTTTTTTGAGATAGTGTGGTGTAAATTACCGGTATGAGGTAGTATGGTGCAGGAACCTATTGGCCCCCAGCCCGTGATCCCTCGAGCAGTAGAGCGGCACCCAGTGCGACGGCACCGCGCATACTAGTCGAGCTAACCACGTCGCGCTGGCCAAAGCGCCTGGTCAAACATAAAGTCGTCAATGTTTTGTAGAAAAGGCGAAAAAAGCGTTTTTTGAAAACTATATGATGATGAAACGAAACCTTTTTCGTAAAACTCGCACTCTGAACTCGTTTAGGGATCAAATTCGCAGTTATTTCCTATCCCAACAATGATGTTAAAAAAATTTTAAGTGAGAACTTCTTTAGCGGGGTTGTACATTTTTTTGTAATAGGTAAAAAATGTTAAACTCGCGTCAGGACACGTGACCTGATCGAAAATTCGTAAGACGAAAACAATAAAATTGGAAAGGTTGTTGACTTTCAATATATTGGACGAAACGTAGAAGTATTTTATTTTATCGTATTATAATCTATAATAAGTATATAAGTATATAAGTTTCTAACTATAGGCCTGTCTCAATACTGTCAGCCATTTCAAAGGTCTTCGAGTCATTAATAGGTCCTTTAATTGTTGGGCATACTAGACATTTGATTGATGATAGACAACACGGATTCCAGGCAAAGAAATCTGTATCAACTAATTCAGTGGTTCTCAAACTTTTTAAATGACGGAACCCTTTTGGGAAGCAAAATACTTGATGGAACCCTACAATAAAACAATTATTTTTATAAGTGTATTCTATATTAATCAGCATAATAAAATTACAATGTATCCGTTACTAATTATTATTTACTTCACCACTTGGTAAGGACAATAATAGAAAACATTAAAAAAGAAAAAATCTAACTAGTGGGAGGTATGAAACTGTTTTTTATTTTTCATCAATTGCTTGATATCAGGTTTGATGGAAGAAAGTTGGAGTCTCATATCAGCTTCGGCGTCCAGTCTATTGCGATATTTTGTTTTCGTGGCTGCGTAGGTAGAGAATCCTGTTTCGCACAAATATGTAGTTGGGAACGGGAGAAGAATATCCAGAGCCATTTGGCCAAGCATTGCATATTCATCTTGGATTCTGCACCAAAAATCATTAAGAGGCGTCGTTTTGAACAATGACTCCATACTTGTGTCTGATGACATTTCTAAAAGAGATTCATATATCTCATTTGACATGTTTTCAGGCTTTTCCAAGTTGGGTAAAAAAGGATTATGAATCCAGGAGTTCACTTTAATTTTTGTATTGTGTTCTTCGGGAAAATACTTTTCAAAAGATGCGCGCATCGAACTGAGATATTGGACCAATTCTTCAAACACATTATCTTCAAACATTTCTGAGTCGTTTTCGCTAACAAACTCAGTGAGTAACGTAAAACTTTCTATTTCTTTCTTACCAATGCAAATGATCCAAAAATCTAATTTTCTTTTAAAAGTAGTTATTTTATTATAGGCCTGAAACACTGTTGTCTGTTTACCTTGCAATGATAAATTTAATTCGTTAAGTTTTTGAAAGATATCCGCCATAAAAGACAATCGGAACAACCAAGTTTTATCATACAAACGGTCCTTCAAATTAAAAGAAGTATCTGCTGAAAGAAACATTTGTAACTCGGCTCTAAGTTCAAATAGCCTTGTTAAAGTTTTTCCCCGAGACAGCCATCGCACTTCTGTATGGAGCAGCAGTGTTTTATGTTTGCTGCCATAATCTTCACACAATAATGAGAACAATCGGGATTGTAGTGGTCGTGATTTGATAAAATTAATTATTTTTACCGCTTCATCCATAACTAATTTTAGATTAGACGGCATTTGCTTCATCGCAAGTGCTTGTCTATGCAGAATACAATGACTGGAACTACAATTAGGCGCTTTATTTTTCATTCGTGACACTGCTCCTGCTGTTTTACCTGTCATCGCCTTGGCCCCATCTGTACAAATGTCAATGCAATTGTTCCAACTGAGATTATGTTCTTCAAAAAATATATTTATTTTATTAAAAATTTCTTCCCCGGTAGTGTTTGTAAGCAGCGATGAACACATAAGCATGTCTTCTTCAAAAGAACTTTTATATGGATATCTCACAATAACCAGCAGGATAGCCAAACCAGCGACATCAGTCGACTCGTCCATTTGCAAAGCGAATCGTGTATTTTGTAGACGTGTAACTAGTTCTTGTTTGACGTAGCTTGCCAGATCATGGATTCGTCGTGAAACAGTATCGTTTGATAGCGGAACAGTAGAAAGATGCTTTGCAGATTTTTCATCAAGCATACATTTTGTTATGTCTAATACACATGGTTTTATTAATTTCTCAGCGATAGTGTGCGCTTCACCTGCTTGTGCAATGCGATAGCTAACTAAGTATGATGCCTCCGTGGCCTTTTCGTTGGTAGTTTGTGTTACATGCATCATATTTTTTTGACTTTCTAATAACTGATCTTTTTTGCGAACAAAAAATTCTTTATTCTTGTCTTTAGTCTCGGGGTGTACGGTTTCTAAATGTCGACGCAATTTGGCAGGTGCCATGGAACTATTAGGAAGCAGTTTACTACAGAGCATGCAGAGAGGTGAGCCGTTGGAATCAACAAATCCGAAACTGATATAAGATTCATCATACTTCCTTTTTTTCGTCTTTGAAACCGTCGAGCTTGACGTCGTGGCACTCGTGGCATCATCTTCTGGATCGGTGATTGCTAAATTCTCCGCGCGCATTGCTTTTGAACATTCAGCGTCATTAGAAGATGTTGTTGGAACACGTTTAACACCTTTAAGCCAACGTTCCATTCTTCTTTATTTATAATGTTACAAGTCAGGATAGTGGGGTTTAAATAATGCACAATCGTTACTGCGTATAAGAGACTAAATTTAGAACCTACAGGGAAGAAATGTATAAAACTGAGACAACAGAATACAGCAGGCAGTAAAACAATGAACACCAGTTTCTCGCTAGCGAGCTTGTAAGTAGGTAGTAACTTATCGCTCCGAACGCTAATCATCAACTGACGACGCCAACGCGCGATCGCCGCTTTTATACTTAGTCCTAGACTCGATCTCAAATATTCTCGAAAATACTCGAGTCGGCACCTTTGATAAACAAAAAGCAAAAATAAAAACAGAAATTTAAAAATAGCGTTGTAAACAATATCGACTTTATCCTTTGAAGTTAGAGACGAAAGTCGCTAGTTGACAACTATAGCGTCTAATTCAGAGGCGGCTTTTATCAAAGAGACTGAGCGCTTACAAGTATACCTACCCGCTCGTTTTAAGTTTGCCGCTGGCGATAGGTATGAGTGTATGACGTTCGAAATTTTTTATTTAATTGTAACAATAAAAATTGTGTACGTTAGATATTTGGGTAAAACTATGACACATTATAAGTTTTGTTGTCACGTGGGGGAGGGTACGCGCATTCCACAGACCGGCAAACTTAGAGCGAACGCGTTGTACAAGTATAAAATTGTTGAGACCAAACTTATGAGATATTGTACCAGCTAATGTAACACAAGCTTATACAAATACAAATAAATAAATAAATAACATTCATAGCGTTTTGTCTCCGCGCGGCCGCGGAGTCCGCACAGCCGCGGAGCGACCAGAGAGAGGTGTTTTGATTTTTTTATTTCTAAATTCTTGCGGAACCCCGACAGAGGTATCACGGAACCCTAGGGTTCCGCGGAACACACTTAGAGTATAGCTGAACTAATTTATTTTCGTATGTGAACACTTTAAGTATGGTATTGGATCATGGTGGTCAGGTAGACTCAATCTATACGGATTTTAGCAGCGCCTTCGACAAGGTTAACCATCGTATTCTACTTTGCAAGTTAGAAAAGACTTATGGAATTGCTGAGCCTCTTTTATCATGGTTTGGGTCGTATCTCTCTGAACGTTGTCAAAGTGTGGTTGCTGGAGGATATGAGTCCCAGTTATACAAGTCAACTTCGGGTGTGCCTCAGGGATCCCATCTTGGACCTATTTTGTTTGTTCTCTTCGTCAATGATGTTATGGGTTGTATTAAGTATAGCCAGTGTTCAATATATTGTTTTAAACTTTCATGGTCACTAACATTATAGCTATTAACGGGATTGTTACCATGTACCTTGTTTTTTATGAGTCTCCGATATTTCGGCACTGTTGCAAGCGCCATGATCACGGAGTAACTGAAGTAATTGCGGGTAGATGTTATTGGCAGACATATCGGTCTACCCTCTGACGTCGTCTTTTACTGCGCTCGATACCCCTACCATTGGTCACGTTCTCACTATTCACTCGCACCTGTTCCCGACACACAATACTCACAGTATCCGATCGCGGAACGACACTTTTTTGATTTTTACGGTTTTTGCACATACGAACCACTGGATTCCAGACACTTGACAATTTAAACCCATCCTCACGATTGAAATTTTTGTGTTTGGTTATTTCAATCGCTTCCCTGACCAATCTTGGTATGTAGTGGCGTTCTGTCGAGATGATTTGTGGATTATGGAGCTCAATCCAGTGATTCGGACCCGAATCGATTAAATGTTCCGCGATAGCTGATTTCTGCGTATCATTGTTTATACGATGAAACAATGATACAAAAAAAAAGTGTCGTTCCGCGATCGGATACTGTGAGTATTGTGTGTCGGGAACAGGTGCGAGTGAATAGTGAGAACGTGACCAATGGTAGGGGTATCGAGCGCAGTAAAAGACGACGTCAGAGGGTAGACCGATATGTCTGCCAATAACATCTACCCGCAATTACTTCAGTTACTCCGTGATCATGGCGCTTGCAACAGTGCCGAAATATCGGAGACTCATAAAAAACAAGGTACATGGTAACAATCCCGTTAATAGCTATAAAGCCAGTGTTCAATGTTCGCGGATGACATGAAGGTATACAAGGTCGTTAGAGGTGACGATGACTGTCAGCTGTTACAGATCGATCTTGCCTCTATTCGTGACTGGTGCTATAAAAATAAAATGCATTTAAATATTTCCAAATGTTACCATATCACATTTACGAAAAAAAGACTTCCCTTTGATTCAAGTTATAGTATCGACGGTACTGTAATTAAAAAAGTCACAGAGGTAAGGGATCTGGGAGTGTATTTGGATGACAGTTTGACTTTCAGGTGTCATTATGATAATATTGTTAATCGTGCTTATCGTATGTTAGGTTTTATTAAACGGACCACCAAAGATTTCCGCAAGGTGGAGTCCAGGGTAGTAATTTACAACGCCCTAGTAAGAAGCATTATTGAATATGCAAGTATCATATGGAACCCATACTATAATATCCACGCTGACAGAATTGAACGAATTAATCGCTCCTTTACCAGATGCTTAGCGTTCACTTGCAGGGATAGAACTACACGTCACTCGTATGAAGAGAGACTAGGTTTTTTCAATATTTTAAAACTAAAGAATCGCAGCATACTTCACGACTTATGCTTTTTACATAAACTTTTAAATGGTGTAGTTGAGTCAGAGTCCTCGATAGAAAATTTTACGTTCAGAGTCCCTCGACCTAATTCCCGTTACGTTTGTAGGGATTTATTTTATATTCATCGATGTCGAACCAATCTTGGCAAGAGTTCCCCAGCTAATCGCATATGTATAAAATATAACGAAATTATCAATGTTTATGGCAATAATCTGGACATTTTTTGCAACAGCTTTCACACATTTGAAAAGAATTTAGTAAAGATTTTGGCTCAGTGGTCGGAGTCGTGACGGGTTGACACTTACAATTCACCGATCAAGTGCAAGACGCTGGTGCTGCACGATATATCCTATTAAGTTTAACACGTTATTACTTGTGAGTGTTGACTCGTGCTTGCTAGCCTGACACACTAGTTATGTTTTTTTAGTTTTTAGGATGTAATGCAAGAGATGGCATTTGTTATAAAGTTAATTGGAATTACTGTGTATACCTTTTATTAAAATCATACAAAGTATTTTCAATAATAAGGTTGTAAAAATTATGTTATGTATGTATTCTGTTGGTGTACCATAATAAAATAAAATAAAAAAATAAAAAAAAAAAAAAATAATCATAAGTCTCCAACTAGGACGTCCAGGTGGCAGCTTTATTGCGAAAAAAATGCATTTTTTTACAATAGATGTCGTTAGATGCGCTTAAATGTGATTCATGTATTTTATAATAGATGTCGCTAGGTGCGCTTAAACGTGATTCATGTAAGTTGATCTTTCTGAGCGATAATCTTTTTAATATCACATAAATTGTCATGTTTACGTACGACTAGCGGCCCGCCCTCGCTTCGCCTCGGTGTAGAGCTGAAGTGTAGACTACAGTTTATATTCTCAGACTTGTATTATGCACAATGACATTCATCTATGATTCTTCTTATACCTGCATGCAAAGTCAGCCCGATCGGTTTAAAATTGACAAAGTTTCATAGAAACTTTCATTCCCTATTTGATCCCCTTGGGGGTAGAATTGATCAAAATCCTTTGTTAGCGGATGCGAACGTCATAATATCTATCTGCATGCCAAATTTGAGCCCGATCCGTCGAGTGGTTTGGGCTGTGCGTTGATAGATGAGTATGTCAGTGAGACACCTTAGAGTTTTATATAATACTAGCAAACCAGTGAACCAAATGTTCACCAATTAAAAAAAAAATGGGTGCGTGTACTTATGTAGGCGCGTGAGAAGTTATCCTTCTTTGGCATCGTTTAAAATTAGTTTTTAATTGCATGCAAATAATTAATTACAATAAATTAATAATAAATGTCATTTCATTTCATTTCATTTCATTTGTGTCCCGTTCAAATCTGCCCTGTTTGCTTTGTTCAAATCTGCCCCACGGTCACTTGGAAAATAAAATATTACAAATAACGCGCCCGCGGCTAACTTCATTATGTTAAAATTTTGTGTTACAGTGATGAAAATTTCACTCTCATAATTTTTTCATAACGCGGCTAAAGAAGTATAACTTCAAAAATGTATTTAATTAATCGAGAACTTCGGAGATTTTGTGTGGTTTCGTTTGAAATTCGCGATTTCTCGAAAACCAGAAGTGCCACGTTACTCAAATCCGGTTTGTAGTCTTATCAGACTATTCTTAACTTATAACTTAAACATTCTCTTTATCTATCTCTTACGGTCTGGCCGCTGAAACAGCACCACAGACGGACGGACGGACTTGTCTAATAGACGAGAGATAGATAGCACTGACCGGGTGCGGGCGCGTGCAGCGGGCGCTCGTACAGCGCTGGGGCACAGCCCGCCAGCAGCCACGCCATCGACAGCGGCAGGGGGGCAGCGCGCGTCAGCACCGGAGTACCCAGCTCCAAGGTCGAGGGCTGGCTCTATATATACAGATAGCACTGACCGGGTGCGGGCGCGTGCAGCGGGCGCGAGTACAGCGCTGGGGCACAGCCCGCCAGCAGCCACGCCATCGACAGCGGCAGGGGGGCAGCGCGCGTCAGCACCGGAGTACCCAGCTCCAAGGTCGAGGGCTGGCTCTATATATACAGATAGCACTGACCGGGTGCGGGCGCGTGCAGCGGGCGCTCGTACAGCGCTGGGGCACAGCCCGCCAGCAGCCACGCCATCGACAGCGGCAGGGGGGCAGCGCGCGTCAGCACCGGAGTACCCAGCTCCAAGGTCGAGGGCTGGCTCTATATATACAGATAGCACTGACCGGGTGCGGGCGCGTGCAGCGGGCGCGAGTACAGCGCTGGGGCACAGCCCGCCAGCAGCCACGCCATCGACAGCGGCAGGGGGGCAGCGCGCGTCAGCACCGGAGTACCCAGCTCCAAGGTCGAGGGCTGGCTCTATATATACAGATAGCACTGACCGGGTGCGGGCGCGTGCAGCGGGCGCGAGTACAGCGCTGGGGCACAGCCCGCCAGCAGCCACGCCATCGACAGCGGCAGGGGGGCAGCGCGCGTCAGCACCGGAGTACCCAGCTCCAAGGTCGAGGGCTGGCTCTATATATACAGATAGCACTGACCGGGTGCGGGCGCGTGCAGCGGGCGCGAGTACAGCGCTGGGGCACAGCCCGCCAGCAGCCACGCCATCGACAGCGGCAGGGGGGCAGCGCGCGTCAGCACCGGAGTACCCAGCTCCAAGGTCGAGGGCTGGCTCTGACGAGCTGCCTCTATGTCGCGGTGCCGCGTCGCCAGCATGTGGACGCAATACCTACAATAATAGAATAGAATAGAAAGTTTTATTGCCTGGGTTCCGAACCTGGGGGTAATTAGCCCTACGGGGGTAAATCGGCCATACTTCGGGGGTAACTAAGAACCTAATTATTTGGTCAAATCTAAATAATAAGAAAATACTATATAATAATACTACTAAATACGCTCTTTCTTGCTAGCAAGCCCGCGGGGTGCCGAGTGTGGGAAGCGGGGCGAGATTATCTCCTAATGATGACATTATTAGAGACGAAGATGTAGCGGCCTAATTGAATTTTCTTAGACTGATGATAACATTTAGAAGTCGGGGTAAAATCTGTTCTCCTAATAGGTTACTGGGGTAGCAGTATTGGAAAGGTTAGGAAACACTGCTTTATTGTCATGCTGAGTACAATAGTGTTACGAGTAATTTCTTAGTTCTAGACAGCTCGTTTCGGACGTACAATATTCATTATAAGTGGTAAATGCTATTAAAAATTTCGAAAATACTCTTTTAAATTATAAAAAAACATTTATCTATTAAATATTTCTTTAATTTAATTTTAAATTCCAATAAATTTAAATCTTTAATTTGTCATTGGGCAAATTGTTAAATATTTTAATTCCACTTATATAAGAGCTTTTGCCAATTATATAGCTAGTCGATAATGCAGTATTTATGTCATTTTTATATTGGGCTCGTATATTAGCTACAATAATATAAAAATCGTTAAATAGATAAATACACAATATTTGATTCAAGAAACCGCTTAAAAAATTACGAAACAACTTAAACTTAAGGAAAAATACAATTAAAAGCTATACAAAGAGAAGCTAAAATGAAAATCCTAGCCTGTGTGTATTGCGGCTGCTTGAAAGGGATTACTCAACGCAATGTGGAATGTTTCAATAGATAACAAAACAGTGATTTTCACCTGTATTCCTTAATTGAGCGGTATTAATCAGACAGCAAACAATTTTAAAGCTAACAAAAAGAAGCTTTGGGGACCAATATTAAACTATAATTGTGAAAACAGAAAGAAAGAAACGCTTGGTCATTTTCGAGATCAACAAATTATCGCTTGCTTTAAAAATATCTGCTAGTCGCTTTCTACATAGAAACGCTCAATTTCAAAACAAATAATAAGAAAGAAGCATCTTTAGGAACGTGTCGCCGTTTAAAATCGATCTGTAAACAGCAGGAAAGTTTGCCTTCCTTGGTAAATGGATCTTAAACAAAAATAGCTCAATTATTAAATTCCTGAGATTAACGTATTAAACCAAACAAACTTTTCAACTACATAATATATGAAACGTTAGTAGATTAATTAATTGAATAAGAACAATTCTTATGTTTTTTTTTTTATTTTCTTAAGCATTTATAACTGCTAGATGTTTAAATCTAAAGAAAAGTTTTACTAGAAAAAAAATCCACGCGGACCAGGCAGCGGACGGGACTCGAACCAGCACCCTTCACAATCCGGGCGAATGCACTGACCAATTATGCTACCACGACCCTGATGGCCGCGCCGAAATTTTCCTAGCCTTAAGTTGCAAAGCAGCGCCATCTCTTCGCATTTTAGGTAACCCACAATGTCAAATGAATTCTTTTACAAGTATTAAACATTTGAAAGAAGAAATAGCAATTATAGTTGTGGTTTTATTTTTTTAAGCATTTAACTGCTAGATGTTTAAATCTAAAGAACAATAGAAAATAAGAAAAAAAAAAAAAATCTTGGCAGAGCTTTTATTTTGTTTTTAATAACTCAATGGTGTCGATTCTGGCAAGATTAGCTAAACCTAAAATTAAATTTAACATCAGTCTGTCCTTTTCTTTCTGAATAGAGAATGACAGGGATACACTGTTGTCAAATTTAAGTTTAGCTTTAGAGAATCATGCTAGAATCGACACCAATGTATGTATACTTATTGTATGTGTATGGTGTATATATGTATTAACTAATAGATTATATTAGCAATTTAAAGCGCCGTCTCTCCCACTTCCTTCTAATTCTCTCCATCCAAAAGGTGCCTGGAAGAGATCGCTTTAAGCTATAATTCCGCCTATTGCATCACTTGAACTAGATAGTTCTGTGCTTAATGCTCTATGTTTTTCGTGGTGTACAATAATGAGTTTTTGTATTGTATTGTATTGTATAATTTTGTTATACTGACCTGTGTATGGGGAATATAAGTCGATGGCAATGTTCCTCGAGCCAGCGCACCACGAACCCGATGCTGTGACAATCTTTATTGTTGAAACAACCCTTTACTACTGCTGACAGCGTTTTGTCGATCTGGCACATACAAATATTATTATTTGACGACATCGGTGGTCGAGTAGTATATACGCCGGATTTCAAGATGTCGCCTACTCGTGAGATCCCGGGTTCAAATCCCGGTGGGGGCAAATGTTTATATATAATTCTGAACGATAATGAATACCCTAAATACAACAACACGCACAAAATCATGGCCGAAACGTGTCTAAAAGGTACATTGGACGATCCACGGAGCTCCGTAAGATGATCGCGTGGTCAAAAACAATATAAGGCATTATTTTAACATTAAAAGTCACCTTTAATGCATACTGTATAAGGTCTTAATTAAAACGCATGCGTCAAAACTTATGACAGTTCAAAATTGCTCGTAAAATTTTACGACTTATTGCTATATGCGGAAGAATATAGACCTTATTTTTTTGACTGTACGCGCAATACTGAATGCGGTGTTAGCAATATAGCAGGCACGGACTGTGAGGAAAAGAGACGGCTATACGGCGACGTATAACCGACCATGCATTTGAATATCACAAATATTTTATATTAAATCACTTTATAGTGAGTTTTAGGACAAAATTTGCTTCAAATGCGCCAAATTAACAAACGTTGATTAGATATCTGGCGAAAAAGCGACACTTTACGTACTATAAGTATAATTACCGCATTTTTACAAGGAGCTCTGCGGAAGTTTGACTTTTCAACGGTCCGCGCGTGACTGTGAACCAAGGAAGTGCTTGAGTGGAGTTCAAGCACTTCTTGATTGGGACACATTTTGAGCGCTCGTGGTGTATCTAGAGTATTTAATATCGTTGATAATTCTATATAAATATACTTAAACTATATTACCTATGAAATATTATGTATTCTATCCGTTAACCCAGCATCCCATAATGCTTATGCATGCTTACTTTAGGGCTTTAGGGCTAGGCTAGTATAGCCCCAAAGTAAGCATTCATAAGCATAAGCACTACATAATGTATGGACACTTGTGCGTAGTGTTGAGGATAATGTATGGACACTGTGTGTAGTGTTAAGGACAATTAAGACTTACCATGGGGCAGGTCTGTGGTCCTTCGGGGTAGTGATCCATGGACAGCTTGTAGCTGGTGTATAGTAAGCTGCGGAACCCGTCCGGGGTCACCATGTTGTCGTCTGTCTCAGCGCCAAACATTCTGACACGATAAACGGTAGGTTTAAAATGTACAGTCCTTATATTCCGACAATCGGTACTTCCAGGGACGCAATTCTAGATGCATTTAGACATTGTAACTTTTATTGTTATAAGCAATAAGTCCAATATTCAGTGACACTACATCTACTCGCATAGAATTCATTGTTTTCTCGACTCTGAATATGTTACCGTTTACCGTATATAATGCAAACATGAAATATATTGTAATAAAAAAAAGGATGCAGTTACAATTCCACAATTTATATTGACATGTTGGTTTAGGCACTGCAAGCGACGCCGTAGGAACATATCAAAGAATAATAAAAGTCGTATTAGAACCGAGTCTGTCGACAATTTGCTAATAATTAATTAATCTAATAAGCATAAACCCACTTAACAATAAAGACTGCAATACAACCAATATATAACAATGTCACTGTGCAATAATATGGCCTATTTACGAATCAAGTTATTCAAAAACCATACAGCTCTGCAATATTTGCGAAAACATTTAAATAATTAAAGATTTATTTTGATAAATTTTCAGGTTTTATAAGTCCTTTAAAAGAGGCGTGAAGAAGCAACATGCAGGGCCGAGGATGGCTGGTGTGGCAGGTAGAACTGCTGTATCAGCTATCTTCGCGGTGCGACTTCACCTTCACTTAACATCAGGTGGGGTGGAGTTATTTGTCGGACCTTTCTATAACAAAAAAAGGTCTGCGTTAATCTGATGGCAATGTAAACCGATCTGGCTTTCACTCCGGCTTAACATTAGGTGCGTACTTGCACATACATTTCAATCATTATAAACTGTATTCTTGAGAGATTAGCCGTACATTATCATTACCATTAGTTTATTATAATTCCCAACGCTGCGTGTACAAGTTTTCGCTACAAATAAAGAATGGAGAACGGCCATGACGCAAGCCACTGCAGCTAGAGTGCTAAAGACAGATGCAGCCGGGACCAACGGCTTAACGTGATTTATGAAGTACGTGGGATTTCAGTGACAATGAATTGCGAAAGTTGATTAAGTATAGCACCATACAGATCCTCATCATGAGCAGCGCATAGCAAGATACAAAGGCAGCCATTTCCACTACCAGCATTTAGTATTTGTTCAGCATTCGTCTTAAGAAATTGTAGGTTTCACCAGATGGTTTACGGCAACGATATTAAATACCCTAGATACACCACGAGCGCTCAAAATGTGTCCCAATGAAGAAGTGCTTGAACTCCACTCAAGCACTTCTTGGTTCACAGTCACGCGCGGACCGTTACAAAGTCAAGATGCCAGAGAGCTCCGCGAAAAAATGCGAAAATAATACTTAGAGTACGAAAAGTGTCGTTTTTTCGACAGGTATCTAGTCAATGTTTGTTAATTTAACGCATTTGAAGTAAATTTTGATCTAATACTTACTATAAACTGATTTAATATAAAATATTTGTGATATTCAAATGCATGGTCGGTTATACGTCGCCATATAGCCGTCTCTTTTGCTCGCGGTCCGTGCCTGCTGTATTGCTAACAGCGCGTTCAGAATCGCGCGTAGAGTCAAAGAACTAAAGTCTAAATACTTCCGCATATAGCAATAAGTCGTAAAATTTTACGAGCTTGCATTTCGAACTGTCAGTAGTCCTTGACGCATGCGTTTTATTTAAGACCTTATACAGTATGTATTAAAGGTTACTTTCAATATTTAAATAATGCCTTATATTGATTTTGACTACGCGATCATCTTACGGAGCTCCGTGGATCGTTCAATGTACCTATTGGACAGGTTTCGGGCACGATTTTGTTCGTGTTGGTGTATCTAGGGTATTTAATATCGTTGATTCACGGTTCCATTTACCTGACGTATGTATCGATGATGGCCGCATTGTCCAGCATGCTGAGGATCCTCTCGCAGTGCTGCCGGAATGTGGCCAGCGGGATGTGCTTGTTCTTGCACTTGCCCGCGCGGTGGATGTACTTGTAGAAGTGCCGCGCCAGCTCCGGATACATGGGGAACAGGTATTTCTGTGGCCAAACGACAGTATGTTAGTCCAATATCTAGATAATAAGTTCTCGAAGGCTTACTTTATGATTTCTGTGAATTTGGAATAGCGAAGTGATTATTTGGTAATGCCATTTAAAAATGTTTGGTTAGCAAAAAAAAGCAGCCTAAATCTTATTTGGCCAGCATACAAAGAAATTGTTAGCAGTAATAAAAAAAGCGGCCAAGTGCGAGGGCGTCGGACTCGCCCATGAATGGTTCCGTGGCAGCAAGTAACATAATATAAAACCTGCCCCCCGCGCGTTCTGCACCCGCTACCGATCAAGCCACGCCCGCGCCAATTATAATTATTATTTACTTATACATCTATTTCAGATTTATTATTAGAAAATAATGGTTCACGGTTTATGCATAACGTTTATGTTAATGTTTTTTTTTATAATATATTTGAGTTGATTGAATAGAAAGTAAATAGCGGTTTACGATTTATGACGTAAAACAACTACTTACTTACACCACACAAATTAAACGATTCTTCGACTTATGATTATGAAATGTTTAAATGTGTAGAAGTACGTCAGTTTGTAGTGCATATAATATAGTCGGTGTAACAAATTCACTAGTGTTGAACTAGCAACACCAACTAGTAAATTCGACACGTCCGTCAGGGCCGCGGTAGGATAAATTTGTCAGTACATCCGCCCGCATTGCGTAGGGTGCGGGTTCGAGACCCGTATGCTGCCTGGTTCACGTGGACTTTTTTCTAGTAAAAGTACTTACTGTGAAGCATTTTTCAGTGACTCCATTGATGCCTTCTTCTTCGCGTGACCTCTGCGCGAGCAACTGTGGGCAAATAAATATGACTATTTAGTTGAATACATGATCGAGATTAAACTCAGTATAGCAACTATAGTTTTTTAAGATATCTTTTTGTTCAAATTAGTACTATGACGACAAATGTATGGACGCTGCACCCACGTCCGCCACGGCTTAAACTACATTTGTTTGAAAGGTATTATAGTCATTATGATCTGTGCCAAAGCGCATCAAATTCCATCCCGGGGGTCTTTAGTTATTTTAAGTTAAATAGGTACAAGTACTATAACGAGCGAACATAAATGAAACAAGGGAATTAATTTAGTTAGTTATTATGGTTACTACGATATGGCATATTATTATGGTTACTAATAATATAAAATGAAGGTACTATAAAATGAATTTATTTAGTTACTTAAATATGCCCATGTGTCATATATTTTGACTACCAGGATATTTTTTTACGGTGTCATAATAAAAAAGGCTAGTTTTTCATAGATCTATCGATTCATACTAATTACATTGTTGGCGGAGCTGGGTGTGTTTTGCCCATTGTCCTTTATATTTATGTCATTGTATTGCAGTCAGTTTAAGGGCCTACGCTTCGTTAAGCGGAAGCACGGAGCGGACGTCCACTCCGCGTGTTTGTTTTATGTTATTTCATACAAAAGCGTTGTGTGAGGCGGGTGTCCTGCCGCAACGAGCGTCCTAAGACCGAGGCCGCTATTTAATACAGCATGAGAGAGGACGGAACAGAGACGAGAAGTAGAGGGAGGGGAGAACAAAAGAGTAAAGAGGAAGATACCTGCATGTTTCAAAGGTCTAGAGTTTGATCTAATTGGAAGATTTGACTTGGATTGGCAGCGTTCGGGAAGCTTAGGCACATCCTCACGGCCAAAATTCCCCAGTGCCTGAAAATAAGGGTCTGATGACTTATGGGACTGAGACGTGGTATCTGAATGTCGGCCTCATAACAAAACTGAAAGTCGCGCAGCGTGCTATGGAGAGGGCTATGCTCAGTGTTTCCCTCCGCGATAAGATCCGAAATACGGAGATCCGTAGAAGGCCCGGTGTGTACGACATAGCCTGAAGAGTTAGCACGCTGAAGTGGCAAAGGGCAGGCCACATCGAGGATCTGACAACCGTTGGGTAAGAAAGGTCCTCGAGTGGCGACCACGTACCGGACGACGCAGCGTGGGGCGGCCCCCAACAAGGTGGACTGACGACATCGTCAAATGTGCTGGGAGCCGCTGGATGCGGATAGCGCAGGACCGCGCATTGTGGCGTTCTATGGGGGAGGCCTATGTCCAGCAGTGGACGGAGAAAGGCTGATGGATGGATGGATGGAAGATTTGGCGGCGACATCTATACGCCCCATATATAACCAACGGATGAAGGAAATAATCACTCGTCTCTTGAGGAGAGATAGCGCTACCGATTCTGCGATCAATATGTATGGAAGCCTACATCGCGCAATTGAAATTCGGATGCTAACACTTCATTTATACAATACCCGACCACCATCAGTCGGGCCGCGGCCCTCGAGCTACCATCATCCAGCTCGGAGGAAGATCTTCCCCTTTGGCCTTCCCACAGAAGATATTTTGCGTCCACCCAACTTAAATCAGCTGTGTAAGTTGAAAATCCGATCCGTTTTTTAATTATATTTTAAACGTCAATACTTGAAATGACGACAGTACATAATAAAATGATTAATTTCCTGGAGAAATTAAATATCGTCACCGTTCGATATTTTATAACGGCGATAAGTGATGGTTGTCATAAATCAATTAACTGATAACAGATCGTCAGCGAGTCTGCGTCGTATCGTTCGTCGATCATATTTTATTTATAATTGATTACAAATAGTTAAATTGCAACATTGGAAATCATAGAGTTGAAGCAAAAGTTGAAAGTAAAGGAAATCCCACCAAAATCATGTTCATGTAAGGTGTTGCCAAGACGAGACCATATGACTCGCACTGACAAAAAGTATCAGATCTCATGTACAGCCAAGCTTCTAACTGTACAGTACACGCCCTAACTCTTGAGAGCCAAGCTTCTTACTGTACAGTACACGCCCTAACTGTTGAGAGCCAAGCTTCTAACTGTACAGTACACGCCCTAACTGTTGAGAGCCAAGCTTCTAACTGTACAGAACACGCCCTAACTCTTGAGAGCCAAGCTTATAACTGTACACAGTCCACGCCCTCACTCTTGAGAGCCAAGTTTCTAAATGTATACAGTACACGCCCTAACTCTACAAGGCCTAACTTCACAAACTCTACATCTTAGTAAAAATAAGAGGCTTGGTCAGGGTCGGACTGGACCGGAAGGGCCCGGGTGGCTGATCACAATCCCGGGGCCCGAGACTAGACCATGGTGATGGGATACTATCGAAAAATACTGAGATACACAAATTGAGATAAACAAACTATAAAAAATTTATTACTATACTAAAATACAATACAATAGTAAGTAGGTATTTACTTAGAACAAATTATATAAAGCTAGCCAATCAACATTTTTTTTAAAAGAGGAGAACTTTCAGCTAAGCAGTTAATGACTCGATCGTAAAAGCTGTTGTTTTCGTCATCCTTGATTAGATCCGATTCTGTATTTAATATAATCAACGAATCCAACAGTTCTTGCCCCAGTAAAGAACGAAGTCTCGTTTTAATGCGCTTCAATGCTGAAAATCGTCTCTCACAAGTCACTTGCGTGAATGAAATTGTGAGAATTACACAATATGCGACATATAAGGTGGTGTACGTGCTGATATGCATATTATACTGTGATAAAAGTTTACATGCACATGGTATGCAACTTTGACAGACGTCCAAACCACTTCTGGAAAAACACATGGCGTCCTTTGCTGCCTGGTCTATGTCTAAAACATCTTCGTCGCTTTGTGTATCTGAATCTTGCTTATGCTGCCTAGGAGAAATGTGCTCATCCCAAAGAGTTTTAGACAGTTCACTAAACTTATTTGCAAAAGATTCCAGTTCTTTTGACAGCAACTCTCGATCGACATTTGCAATTGATGCGATAGACTTTAGCGCGTCATTAGGAATTCCATTTTCTTTGATTTTATTGAAGTTTTTCGGGTCCAAACAAGCGGCATCTTTCATTAAATCTTCGTTGCACATGAATTTTTCGTTTATTTTAACTAAAGCTGTATTAATAATGACTTTGTAGACAGAAATAGAATAAAATCTCTTTGGGTCTGTAGCCAATAATGCTACTTCATCTTCACATAACTGCTCATGTTTCTTCGGTTCTTTAGAAATTCTTCGTAACGGTAACGTGGTTTGTACGTCAAGATCAATGTTTTCAGCGTGCATCAAGTCTTGAACATCGGATGCAAATAAACTTGCAGCTTTGAAAACATCATCAAAAGTATCTAAATGTCTTCGTAAATCCATGTCTAAACATTTGATGAATCCCCAAGCTTTCAGATAATCCAATGTAGGGGTTTGGAGATATTGGCTTACTGGGGTTGATAGGTCAAATATTTTCTTGAACGTGAAGGCTGTCAGGATAGTTTCGAATTTCAAAAAAGAATCCATCAAAGCTTTTGCTTGGAACGAAACCTTTGGCTCGAACTCCGTGCTTGAAGATATGGCACTTAAAGTTTTTATTAACGCCACATATCGAGTTTTCTCCATAACAGTGGTCAAGGCTTTGTCTTTAGCCCACCATCTTGTTTTTCCGATATTCTGTAATCGTCTCAATTTGTCTTGTCCAGCTGTTAATTCTGAAATTTTCTCCACCCATAGAGATGTGCGCTTAAATGATTCATGAATAAATACACTGGTAGACTCCAAGAGCCCAAACAAATTCTTGGCTTCAGTACAGCTTGACGTCGCGCCTCCCAGCACTAAATTTAAAACATGTGCATAACAATGTGTGAAAATTAATTTTGGCACTTCTTCCTTCAGTTTTGCTTGAAGACCATTATACCTTCCCGCCATATTTCCGGCGCCATCAAATGACACGCTAATAATATCTTGCAAATTTAAGCCTAACTGGGCTAGTTCATTGCTTACAAGAGCTCGGTAATCTTCTCCTGTTGATTTCCGGACAGGGACCATGCTGAGCATCCGCTCTTGTGGGATCCCACTCTTAACATAGCGCACGCAAATTGCAGCCTGGTCAACAACGCCAACATCCTGGCAAGAGTCCACATTAAGGCTAAAAGATTTCGCCGCCTGGATTTCTTTAACGATTTCTAGTTTAACTTGACGTGCACATATATTTATTAATTTATTTATAGTGGTTTTTGATAAAAAGGTAACAAGCCCACCTCGACCCTTACCTTTTCCTGAGTCTTTTCTTTTTTTACTTTCAGTAATTGCCTCGGACATGTGCGCCTTAAGAACTGGATCATACTTCGACAATAGGACAACTAAATTTAAAAAGTTTCCGTGATTCTGGTTGTCGTCTGCGATATCCGCTAACGAGTACAAGGCCTCACTTTTTCCACGATAAGCAATGCCTTGTTTAGATATAAATAGTATTATATCAATTATTCTTTTCAGGACCAGACGCCTATTGGAAATCTCTTGCATATTCTTTAGCGTGAGATGTTGTTCCACATTTCCTCTTTTTTTTGCTGTAAGCAAGGCAACTACGGCTAACTGATGACTGTGGCTTTCCTCGTGTTTGACAAGTTGTTCATAAATATGTTTTTTGGATGGAGTAACGCCATCAATAAATGGACTTCTTCCTCCTCCTTCTTCTTTCTTGGCGTCAGACGCAAAACACATGCAGGTGGTACAAAATAGCTTGTTTAATTCAAGAGAATAAGAGACAGATTCTCGTCGAATTAAAGTTCCTGTTGGTAATTTTCGGTAGTAAACCCGATTTGCATCGAAAGGCAAACTGTTTTTATCACCCGAAGGTTGGATAGGGTGAACAGATAAGATACTTAATTTCTCGGCAGTCGTAGCATTTTTCCTTGGCGCAGCAAATTCAGAAAGTTTTTGAATTTGACTGCAATCATCGACTGTTAATGTTAGTGGCTT